GGCGCGGCCGCGCGGGACCTCGGGCGGCGGCCTTAGCGGCCGAACCCGGGGCCGACCCTCGCGCAGCGGCGCAGCAGGCGTGGACAGGGCGGCGGCCTTGGCGGCGGCGCGTCTCAGCTGGACCCCGGCTCGGGCCTGCGCGGACGCGGGCGAAGACGGAGCGGACGAGGCAGGTGGGTCGGGCCGCGTGGGCGAAGCGGGCCGGGGTAGCGGGCCGCTCCCGCCCCCTGGGCGCGGTGGTTTTCGGCAGCCGGCCACGCTCTAGGCCGCTAGGTGTTCAGTGCTCGGGTCTTGACGTCCGACAGCTCCGGCCTTCATGCCTGCTCGTTTGTGGTGCTGGGACTGAACCCAGCGGCGCTGTACCACTGAGCCACATCCCCAGTTCCTTTTGCTTTTTGAGAGGCGGGTCTTGCTCAGTTGTTGAGGCTGCCCTTGAACTTGGGATCCGCCTCAGCCTCCGGAGCCACTGGGATTACAGGTGTGCACCACTGCTCCAGGACCTGCTGACCCTTTGTTCTGTGCACCCTTTAGATGACTTAACCACTCTGAGCCTCAGGTTCCTGTTGGTGAAAGCTCAAGAGAAGGTGCGGTAGAACCGCTTCATTGTGAACTAGTTGACCCCCCTGGCTGCAGCTGCTTAGGCTCACTGCAGCAGTGTACTTGGGCTGTGTAATAACTTTGCCCTTCTGAGAAGGCTTTCTGTGCCCCCTCGTTTAGTCATGGGGGCAGGAAATGAGGTGACACTCGGTTGGCAGGCAGGAGACACAGGGATGGGTGGTGTGGGCACAGCTCCTTCATTTCTAGAGCAGGAATGAAGCTCCACCCTCGTGGAGGCATTTGGAATTGTTGAACCAGTGAGATGTCCCCCTGAGCCCAGTGCCTGAGGCCTGAGGGCTCACACGTCCAGCCTGAGGCCTGCCTCTCAAGGCTCAGATTCCTCAGAGCTTCTCCTGTGTCTGCACAGCGGCCAGGCTTCCTGCTGACTGTTGACATTGCTTTGTCCAGGAACAGGCCGGGCTCTGGCCATGGGGCATTGTCGCCTCTGCCACGGGAAGTTCTCCTCACGGAGTCTCCGAAGCATCTCTGACAGGGCACCTGGGGAGAGCTCTGAGAGACCGTCCCCAGGGGAGCGTGTCTTCATCAGGGACTTCCAGCGACTGCTGGGTGTGGCTGTGCACCAGGACCCAGCCTTGTCTCAGTTTATCTGCAAGAACTGCCACACCCAGTTCTACCAGTGCCACAGCCTCCTCAGGTCCTTTCTGCAGAGAGTCAACGTCACCCCGACAGGCCATCGGAAACCTTGTGCAAAGTAGGCTCCCCTGCCCTTTTTCAGTAGTGGGCATCAATCTAGGGTTTCATCCACTTGCTAGGCAGATGCTCTCCCATTGAGCTACAACCAGGCTCAGTTGCCTCATAGTAGGCTTTTTTTTTTTAATATTTATTTTTTTAGTTGTAGTTGAACCCAATACCTTTATTTTATTTACTTTTAATGTGGTGCTGAGGATGGAACCCAGCAAGTGGTCTACTGCTGAGCCACAACTCCAGCCCTCATAGTAGGCTTTTGTTTAGTCATTTAGGGGATATTCAGGGATACAGCATGTCACAGTAAGTGCCCGGGGTGCTGGGTGGTGTTTAGGGTCAGGGAGTACGGAGGTGGGAACCTTTGCAGTGGGGTGGGTAGGCAGTGCCTGGCTCTGCAGTGCCAGTGTAAACAGGCCCTGGTACTTCGGGCACCCATGGGACCCACAGGAAAGCTGCAGAGCTCTGCCCAGACTTCAGCTTTCCCAGGTTCTATGGGCAAGGGGCAGCCCTGGGAAGGAACAGGTTTCCCAGCAGAGGGTTTTCAGCGGGAGGCAGCTGGGAAGGTTTGAGAGATCTGAGGCTCCTACAGAGGGAGCATCTGCTTATGGCCACGCTGATCTCTGCAGGGTTGGTGCTCAGCCCCCCACAGTGGCAGAGGAAGGAGCTCGTCTGGGTAAGTCTGCCCCTGGTATCAGGGTGGGCTTTCATTTGGGCCGGGAGTTGGCCTGTATGGGGCTGACATCTCTATTGACTCTCCTCAGTGGATCTGATCACCTCGAGCCCCCGGTGCCTGCACGGCTTGGTGGGGTGGGTGCACGGACATGCGGCCAGCTGCAGGGCCCTGCCCAGCCTTCAGAGGACACTGTCCTCCGAGTACTGCGGCATCATCCAGGCTGTGTGGTGCTGCGATCAGGGCCACGACTACACCATGGACACCGACTCCCGCTGCAGAACCTTCTTGCTGGACAGTGCACTGGCAGTCAAGTGGGCCTGGGACCAGGAGACGGCCCCAGGGCTCACCCAGAACCAGGCATCCAGCCCCCCTGGGGTGGCCCTTCAGCTCTCGCAGGGCAGAGGGACCACAGTTGGGGCTGAAACCAAGATGCCACCCAGCATGGATACATCCTCACCTCCCTCAGATGGCAGCCCTGTGGGGCCTGGGCCAGGCCCCCCACCACAGCCCAGCTTTCCCCCCTGCGAGGCCCCAGGTAGGAGGCACCTGTAGCCTGTGCTAGGCTAGGATTTTGTATTCCCTAGCGGGGCAGGGTCTTCAGCTGAGAGCAAACGTCTCCACCATCCTGGGTGTTGTTCATGGTGCGGGGAAAAGGGGGTGACAGGAAAAGATGTGGAGCCAGCCTCCATGCTTCCTCCTGGGAGCAGGTGGGCACCCACCTGTTTGGGCTTTCCGTCCCTTCCCAAGTAGGCTTTGCTCTAGCAGTTGTCGTGAAGTTTCTCATCTGTTGTCCAGTCTTTCTCCAAGTCAGTGCTCAGGGCAGAGAGCACCAAGGGAAAGGAGGATAATGGGGCCCTTGTATATGGGATGTGGGGGAAGAGAAGCTGCTGCTTTGGGCCAGCTGCCTGTGACTCCCTGGTGTGTGGCAGCCTCTGCTGCTGACTGGCTGAGGGGAGCAGTCCTTCTGTGGGGCCCAGACCCCACTTGTGTGTGGTGCAGCTGCCCCTACACATTGTGTTGGGAGGGCCAGTGTCAGCTTCCTGTCTGCCTCTGGTTTTCTATGGGTACCTGTGGGCACTCAGTGGGCTCCTATGTGCAGGTCCTCAGTGGGCCTCTAAAGAAACACGACCACCCAGTGGTTCAGCTAGGGACACGTGGATGGGACAGCACAGCTCCCTGGAAGGGCTATGGGGGCAGAGCTGAGTGTCACAGGCATTTCAGAGTGCTTGATTTTGTGAACTGTGCACAGGTGTAGTGGCATCTGTAGTCCCAGCTACTCAGAAGGCTGAGGTGGGGGAATCGTCTGAGCTTGGGAGTTTGAGACCTACCTGGGCAGCACAGCAAGACCCATCAAAGCAAAACCTGAAAACCAATATTCTTAGAAATGTCCCCAAAATTCCAACTGTGGGTCAGCCACCTGGATTGAGGGCCTGAGCCTGGGAGGAGGAGTCAGGCTTGCTGACAACCATCTGGGAGGTTCCTTCACCTCTGGACATGGGGTTGGGCTAGCAGGGGGCTGAGGCCCGAGGACTCCAGGCTCTGCGGAGGCAGCTGCAGCACACTGCCTCTGCGTGAGAGGCTCTGCTGCGTTGGTAACAGGAGCCTGTTCTTCACTTCCCAGGGCAATTGGGTGAGAAGCAGGTTCCGTCTTCAGCCTCGGATGATCGGGTAAAAGACGAGTTCAGTGACCTTTCTGAGGGGTGAGAGAAGAGTGGGTTTAAATAGCCTAACATTTCTCCTTCGAAAACCAGACTCAGCCACCTGAGGGGCTGTTGCCCATGCCTGGTGGGCACTCCCTGCCTCCAGGGTTGGGAGGAGAGGCAGGCCAGGGCAGCTTCCAAGGTGTCTTGATTCTGCTGGGGACCTCCTGGGTTCCAGAGGCCCCTAAACCCAGCACAGCTTCCCAGGAGCTAGGGCAGTTCCTAGCCCAGGGCAGGGGGGAATGTCCTTGGTTAAAGTGCCTCCGACTGTTTTCTTAAAAGCTTTAGCTTTCTGCTAACCCAGGTGCCACTAGAACAGCAGGTGCCACGCACTGCCCTCTGTGATGGGGTTGAGGCTTGAGAAGGCACTGCTCAGGTTGGGCTTGTGGGCCTCCCTTGGAAGGAGTGCTGTCAGGGTCTCTCAGCTCTGGGCTGAAGCTCACCCCCTGCCATCCTGCCCCATGGCCTTGGTGGGAGCCCAGATGCATGTAGTCCATATGGGGAAGGACGGCCAGTTTTTGGTTCTCCTCCAGTGAGGAGACTAGATGTGGCTCAGGCTCAGCTGCTGGATGGCCACAGGCCTTCTTCCCTATGTGCGGGTGGCAGCCTGGGGCAACATGATGGGCTTTTTAGCCTGGCTATTTGCTGACCAACAGACCAAACAGTGATTTGTGTTTTAAGGTGAAGGTCACAGATCTAACCTCTGAACTTGGGAATGGCTGAAAGCAAAATCTGTCAGCTACATAGGTTCAGTGGTGAAGCCACCCACCATGCAGCCCACCTTCTGAGTCTACCCCTCATGGGCCATAAAGAAGCCTTCTTCAGTCTGGGGTTCTGGCACTGGAGAATATGAGTCGTGGGGACTGCTGCCCGAGCTCAGTGACCCTGGCTTGCCCTTCCTGTAGGAAACGGTGTTGGAGATGGCTCTAGATTTTTAGACATTTTCAGAAGAACTGAAGTGGGCCATGGGGGTCTCTGGGTGTCTGGAGATAGGCCTGGGGTCTGTGGCTGGCCCATAGGGGACTTTGCTGAAGGCTCTATCCTCTCTCCTAGAGACTTCCTGAGTGAGGATGAAAATGACAAGCAGCAGAGTACACAGTCCTCCGACGAGTCCTTTGAGCCTTACCCAGAGAAGAAGTAAGGGTGCAGCCCTGCTGCCGGAATGGGGGCTGGTGGGTGGTGAGTGGTGGGTGAGCCCAGGTCTGCACGTGAGAGAGCCATGCTTCTGTTGCTCCCCTGGCCCCATCTCTCTAGCCCAGCAGATGTGGTTTCTGAGTGACCAGTAGGCTGGTTTGAAGGGCCAGACAGGCAGATGAATCTGTGGAAGGAGGGTCCCTGTGGCTGCTGGTTGGGGCTACTGATAAGACACAGCACTGTTCCTTAAGTGCATGCCACCAGGATACCCATCTCAATTGCTTCCTGCTCCCTGGGTCCTACTTCTGAGGCCCAGGGACACAGCTTGGTAACCACTCCCAACTTTGACTCTGGCACAGAGGTATAATGTTTTTTTGTTTTTTACTGGGGATTGAATCCGGGGTCAACCACTGAATCACACCTCTTCTATTTTTTTATTTTGAGATAAGTTCTAAGTGGCTTAGGGCCTTGCTAAGGCTGGCCTTATACTGTGATCCTCCTGCCTCAGCTTCCTGAGTCACTGGGATTATGGGCATGCACCCTGTGCCAGGCTCTAGTACTGTTTTGTAGCTGGGCATCCCACAGCACTTAGCAGCCAGCTGATGCCTGACCCAGTCATCGTCCAGAGAGCAAGCAGCTCTGAATGCCACACAATCAGCCAGGAAAAATCCTGTAAGAGACATAAACTTGGCTTCCTTTTTCTCAAGAAAGTTCTGACACTCATGGAAGGAGAAATAGAGGAAAGTAGGAGGACAATCAGAATCGGAACACTTGACCAAGCCTGAAGTGCTTGGCTGGGCTAGAGCAGGCACAGCGACTGGGGCCAGGTGAGTCTCACACAGGAAGCATGGCTGGGGTGCAGCCTAGAGCTGCCATGAGGAGGCCCTGCTTCCTATATAGTGGCCTCTATAGGCTGAGTCTTGGCTCACACCTGGAGTTTGCTGGGCACTGGTGTGGCAGGGCTATGGGCCAAGAGGGACAAGTGGGTCTCCTTTCCAGACAGGTTTGGGAGGGGAAGTGCTCTGCTGGGGCCCTTGCTGCTGACACCCAGGTACACAGACACACACTTTGGATTGGGACGTGATACTGTCCTAAGGCCTCTAGTAATACTGGCTATCTAGGTGGAAACCACTGCAGGAGATGAGAACAGGACATGGACATGGTCCTCTGCTAACCATGATGTGCACGGACCTGGAGGCCACTTGACTCCTCAAGTGGTAGCATGTGAGCTCCAGCTGAGAACCTGCAAAGATAAGGCCTTGAGCCCGCCTTGGCCCAGGCCCTGTGCCTTCTTCACAAGTGTTCCTCTTCAGTCATCTCCACTTGGACTCCAGACAGTCCTGGCCATCGGGGTCCTCAGCCTGGAGAGGGGTCAGAGCACAGAGGTCCTACCCAGAGGTCAAAGCCAGGACCTGGCCTGAGGGGATGGAAGAGCTGAGAAAGGGCAGGTGGAATGTTCATTTATCAGTGAGCTTCAGAGACTACAGCTTCAGAAGTGAGTGGTCTGGTGTGGGAGGAGATGGCCTGTCACTGACAGGAGGGAGCCACCCTGCCCAGCAATGGGGCTGGCCAGGAGGGGACACTGGACAGTTATCAGGGAGATGGAGCAGCCTGCATATCAGCAAAAAGGCTCCCTTAGTACACTTATTTAAACCTCTTTTAAGTGTACAGTCCAGCAGTACCAGGTGCAGGCACAGTGGCACATCATCATGATTAGAAACTACTGCTGAGCACTACCTTTGCTGCTCCCTGCCGTGAGCCCCACCCCTTCTTGCCCGCTGCAGGGACACACTGTCTGGCTATTGGGTTTTGTGTGGGGTCGTGCTGACCTTTCAACTGTTGTCAAGGACGTTGTAACATCAAGTTCCTGCCGTTGGCCCTTGGGGGTGTATACTTAACAGTGGAATTGGGGCTTGTTGGTGCTTCATGTGTAACTCTGAGGAGTCGCCCTTGTTTCCTAGGGGGGGATGTATGGCAGTCATCCTTGCCACCCTGCGCTTTCCTGGGTTTTGTTCATTGTGCAGATGGTGTGAAATGGCTTCTCTTCCTTGTGCATGCAGTTGCCTGGTATGACTCCAGGATTGTTGGCCATTTGCAAGTTGTCTTTAGAGAAATCTTTTGGGGGCTCTTACTGGAGATTGAACCCAGGGGCACTTAACCACTGAGTCATCATATTCCCAGCCCTTTTTTATTTTGAGACAGAGTCTCACCAAGTTGCTGAGGCTGGCCTTGAACCTGTGATCCTCCTCCCTTAACTGCCCAAGCCTCTAGGATAACAGGCAGACTTTGCCCATTTTTAAACTATATTTGCTGTTTAGTTCTTCATGTATTTTGGATATCAAATCCTTACCAGATGGGTGGTCTGCAAACACTTTCTCCTCTCTTCTCTTTTATCTTGGTAGTACCTATCAATATACAACATTTCAAACTTGACAAAGTCTAATTTGCCAGTTTGGTTGTCTCTGTTTTTGGTCACATATTTAGGGAGCTACTGCCAAATGCAGGTTTTTTATGATTTACTGATGCTATTTTACTCTTAGATTAGGTCCTGATCCACTTGAGTTGATCTTAGTGTATGACACCATGTGTTACAGAGGTATTCTCTCCTCCCTGAACGGTGCTGGCACCTTGTTGAAAAATCAGGAGGTCCTGTGTGAGTTCCCTGTTCCAGACCATTTGATTGGTGTGTATGTAACTGTATTCAGTAACAGTTTTGTCTGCCAACTTGTTTTTCTTTTTTATAAAGGAAGAATTAAGACTGCCTATCTGTGGAAGTTTTTTTGTTTATTTTGTTTGGTACTGGGGATTGAACCCAGGTGTGCTTAATCACTGAGCCACATCCCCCCAGCCTTTTAATCTTATTTTTCATTTTGAGACAGAGTCTAGCTAAGTTGTTAGTGCCATGCTTAGTTGCTGAGGCTGGCCTTGAACTTGTGATCCTCCTGCATCCTGCCTCAGCCTTCCAAATAGCTGGGACCACAGTCATGCATCAAATGTAATTTCTTTTTTTTTTTTTTTAAAGAGAGAGAAATAATTTTAATATTTATTTTTTAGTTTTCAGCAGACACAATATCTTTGCTTGTATGTGGTGCTGAGGATCGAACCCAGGCTGCATGCATGCCAGGCGAGCGTGCTACCGCTTGAGCCACATCTCCAGCCCCTGCCAACTTGTTTTTTAATCAATCTTGGCTATTTAGTATTCCTTAAAGTTCCATGTTAAATTTTAGATGGGTTTCTCCACTTCTCAAAAAAAAAATCTCTTTTTTTCATTTTTATTTTGCAGAACTTGGGATTAGACCGGGGTTCACCCATGCTTGGCAAAGCTCTCTACCATGAGCTACACCCTATTTTGGCTGTGGGTGGGGACAGCAGTGGAGCTCTGTGCTGGGGGGAGATGATTGGCTCTTTCCACGTGTGTGGTCTCTGGCTATAGCAGCTCTGGTGGATTTTTAATATGCAAGTATTTTGCCTTTGGTTAATTTAGTTCCTAATTATGTTATTTACTTTTCTTTCAGATTCTGGGGTTGAACCCAGGGGTGCTCTGCTACACCTCTAGCCTTTTTAAATTTTTGAGACAGGGCCTCACTAAGTTGTAGTGGCTGGTCTTGAACTTGCATCCTCCTACCTCAGCCTCCTGAGTTGCTGGGAATCATAGGATCACAGGCGTGTTTGAGTTTTTTTGTTTTTGGTATCACATAATTTTATTTCTTTGGTTTTCAACTTCCTTATTTCACAGGGCAAATTTAGGGCTGGGGTTGTAGCTCAGCAGTAGAGCGCTTGCCTGGCATGTGGAGGCCCTGGGTTTGATCCTCAGTATCACATAAAAGTAAATAAATAAAATAAAGGCATTGTGTCCAATTACATCTAAAAAATATTTTTTTAAAAATTCAGTCTCCCACCTTCCTAGCTACTTTGCTGACCCTTACTGAAGATGACTCTGAGAGGAGGCCCAGCAGAAAACAGGGAGTCCAACAGCCAGCTAGGCTGAAAGAGGCTGTGGGGGCCTCCAACAAAAGGGTCAGATCTTCCTCCCATCCCTTTCCACACTCTGCACCTCAGTTGCTTTAGGTTCAATTCTAATATTATTTTGGAAACAAATTTGAGTAAAGACTGTCCCATACCGAAAGAATCTGGTACAGATGGCCATGCTATAACACTTCTCTTTCCCCCAGGAAGAGCTGAAAACAGCTTTTGCTAACACCTATAACTCTCTATACACCCCCAAAATACAGCTTTAAAGCTTCCAACACCAGCAAGGGGGCCTGGCCAACCCACTCAAAATCAAAACAAAGACAAAACAATAAAAATATGACCAGCCAACAACCAAAAAGAACATCTGTGCTCCTGCAGCTTTCAACAAGGGAGCAGATGGCTGAGCTAGGAAACACAAATATGCTCTTGGAGTCAGGATAGATGCTGTTAAAGGGCATCCTGGCCATGCCAGGGGATGTCTCAGGTCCTCGACCTTCTCCAAACTGGTCCCCGTCAGCCATCAACCAGGGTTAGGCCTTCATAGAAAGAGCAGTGGGCTTGTACTTGGTTCTGCACCCTGCAGGTCCGTGTGCATGCCTGAGCTGCACCTTCCGCTCCTTTGTTGGTAATTTTTGTGAAGGGTACTCCACATACGTAGCCGTGTCACCTGAGTTTATCTTCTATTTTTTCTTCTTGCTGAGTCTCTCTGCATAGGACCTCTATAGTGTGTTCAAAAACAGTGATGACATGGGCATCTTGCCTTTTTCCTGATGGTAGAATTTTAGCCCTTTACTGCTGAGCATGGTGCCTGCTGTGGGTTTCCTTATCTGGGCCCAAAAGGAAATAAGTATCCTGCACCCTCTCCTGGTGCCCCTGGGACACCTGCTGCAACCTGAAAGCACCATCCCATGTTTCTGGCCACAGTCCCACTCCTGTCCTAGCCCCAGCCACAGGCTGAACTCACAGCCCCCTCTAGACTCCGCCCTTGCTTTCTGGGCCTGCCTGTTAGGCTCTGGAGTGTCCAGAGGTGATGCTGAGCTTTTCTCTGGTGTGAGGTTGTGGTAAAGGGACCAACCCTCCATCTTCTTAGCTTTGTTGTCCACATCTGCAGACAGGCTTTGGCTCTGAAGATGCACCAATTGGTGGGGAGACACCTGCTTTCTGTGCCTGCACCGTCTCCAGAGTGGTGCCAGCTTTAGTGGCTATTAAGATGGGCTCCAGGGCAGCCAGTTGGCCCAGAAGCAGCGAGGTCATGGGAGCAGGACCTGGAGTCTGAAGAGAGGCACAGAACACCGAGGACTGTCAGGGTGGAGGTCGGACTGAATCTTGGGGTGTCTTTTTTCTCAGGGTCTCTGGTAAGAAGAATGAAAGCAAAGAGGCCAGGAAGGCTGAAGAACCAAAACCCCGAAAGAAGCCGGGACCCAAGCCTGGGTGGAAACAGCAGCTCCGCTGTGAGAGGTGAGGGGCTGTGGTGCGGGTGCCCTGTTCCTCGGGGCAGCGCCTCCACAAATGCTGTGCCTTGCAGGGAGGAGCTGCCCACCATCTACAAGTGTCCTTACCAGGGCTGTACAGCCGTGTATCGCGGGGCTGATGGGATGAAGGTGAGGAACAGCTGAGGGGTGACTGAGGTATGGCAGGGGTTAGGGTGAGCCCCGTCCCGGAGACCTGCGTAGAGCCAACCCTGTGCTCAGAGACGCTGCCTGTGGGCTGGAGAGGAGTGAAGCTACAGCTGGGGCTGGGTGTAGCTCAGTGGCAGACACTGCAAAAGGCCTGGTTCCATCTCCAGCACCACATGAAGGAGGGGGTACATGGAGTGGTTGGAGCGGCCCTCCTGGAAGCAGGAGGGCCGGGCATTGTCTGCTGAGGAAGTGGGATATGCTGCGACGTGGGTTGGGACTTTGAACAGACCAAGCAGCCAGAGTCCTTTGCCTGCACCCTCCTGCAGAAGCACATCAAGGAGCATCACGAGGAGGTCCGAGAGAGGCCCTGCCCCCACCCCGGCTGCAACAAGGTGTTCATGATCGACCGCTATCTGCAGCGCCACGTGAAGCTCATTCACACGGGTACGTACCTACCCTCACAGGCCAGTCTCCCAGAGGTGTGGTCCGAGTTTGGGTGGTGACCACAACCATGGCTGGGTACCCTTTTAGGAGGACCAAGACTGTGTCTTGATACTAGATGGCCTTGGGTGCTCAAAGGCTACTTGAGAGGTCAAGGTGAATCTGCACACAGGAGTGAGTGCCCCTGCCCTTCTCCTGCAGGACCCAAGCAGTTGCTAGACTGACAGCACAGGAGTCTGGCACCCTGCCCCCATGGGTTCGTTGTTATAGAACATTCTACCGTTCTGTGTACCTTGTAGAAATGTGAAAATCAGGTACAGGAAAGGCATTGAACCTCCTCCTGCAGAGGGCCCACTAGGTTCCCTCAGGATCTCACTGTCCCATATTCTCCTGGCCTGAGCCTGTGGATCCCTCCCGACAGAGGTGCTGTAGGAGTTGTCCCCAACAACTGGGAGCTCCATGCTAGAACTCTGAACACAGTGATGACTGCCAGCTCACTCACCATGAAACCCATCCATGTGCCATTTCTTTCACTAGACGTTATTTCCAGATTTTTTCCTGCCCTACACAATCTGTGTGTTTGTGTGTGTGCACACACGTGCTATGGACTGAACCCAGGGGTGCTCTATCATAAGCTACATCCCCAGCCCTTTTAATTCATTTTGAGACAGGGTCTGGCTAAGTTGCCCAGGCTGGCCTCAAACTTGGGATTCCGGGATCCTCCTGCCCCAGCCTCTTGAGTGGCTGGAATTGTAGACTGTACCACCGTGCCTGCCCAGCAGTCAGCCAGATGGTATATCTGCACCATTCAGAAGCTTTTGTTTATATTCGGAAAATACCCATCTGTGAACAAGGCCCTGGCGTGGGCACACAGTGTTTGTGCCAGGTTACACACCACGGGGCTAATGTGTCTTGGGGACCCATGCTCACTCCCTTTCTGGTCTCCAGAGGTACGCAACTACATCTGTGATGAATGCGGACAGACCTTCAAGCAGAGGAAGCACCTTCTTGTCCACCAGATGCGCCATTCAGGAGCCAAGCCTTTGCAGTAAGTGTGGGCTGGGTGCTTGGAGGCTGGGACTGGTGTGCAGCCTCCCTCACCTGCCTCTGTCCCCAGGTGTGAAGTCTGTGGGTTCCAGTGCAGGCAGCGGGCATCCCTCAAGTACCACATGACCAAACACAAGGCGGAGACAGAGCTGGACTTTGCCTGTGACCAGTGCGGCCGGCGGTTTGAGAAGGCCCACAACCTCAATGTGCATATGTCTATGGTGCACCCTCTGACACAGACCCAGGACAAAGCCCTACCCCTGGAGGCGGAGCCACCACCTGGGTCCCCAAGCCCCTCTGGGGCCATGGAAGGCCAGGCTGTGAAGCCAGAGCCTACCTGAGGTTGGCAGGTGGGACAGTGGCACTTAGAGCAGCTGGAACTCTGCAGGTGTGAGGTGGGGTCTAAAGACGTTTCCACGTTCTCTAACTGGGGCACAGCTTTGCGTGCTTCTGGGAGTCCACGCTGCATCCCTGCCCCACGTGTAGAATCACGTGTCAGGCAGGCTGGAGGGCGCCTCTCTCCCTGGCTGGTCAAGGGAGCTTGAGAAGCGTGTAGCCTTTCTGTCACTCTGGGACCAGCAGCTTATTTTCCAAGTACTGAGCTACTTGAGGCCAGACAGATGATGAGTAACTGATTCCTTTTCCTAACTTCTGCAGCCAAGGAGATTTGTAACCCATTTTCTAGTGCAACAAGAGCTTCATGTTATGCTTGCAATAAATTATTTACAAAGGAGCCAGGCTGGTGCACTGAGCAGAGTCCAGTCAGAAGAGACGGGGCTCCTGGTAGAGGTCAGTGTCAGGCACAGCCCGATGCCTGCTCAGAAGGGCGCTGCTCACCCCAGGGTCCCAGTCTTCCCGACCAGCCAGCAGCTGTGAGAAAGGAAAACACTACTCAGGACCCACAGCCTGGGGCTGAGAGGTGAAATCAGTCCCAAGGAGAGGGTCTTGGGTTACCTCTGCCATGTTTGAGGAGCCGCTTTTCAGGCACTGAGGTATTAACTGCAGCAGAAAAAGACGAGCTTCTGTGATCAGTTGTACAGGGTTGCCCTAGAGAGGACAGTCAGATCAGGACACAGTGGACCAGGACTGGTGTGCCACCTCACCCCATCGTTCCCTGGCAGGAGCTGTTCTCACAGGCTGGGGAGAGGACTGGCCCTGGAGCTCTAGTCTCCTGCTGGCTGGAGCTGACACAGCCCTGGTCTCCCCATCCATGAAGAGCTGGACCAGCTTGAAGTACATGTCAACAGCAACACGCAGAAAGGCCTCTTCCCTAATGATGGCGTCGTCTTTGAAATGGGAGAGAAGACTAGAGATAAAGAGAACATGACACAGACTAAGTAGGTTAGTGCAGAGAGTGTATCCACCCATCTGGCACCAAGCTGCAGGCAAGTGACCCTATCTGGTGGGAGTCTAGGTGCCTGGGGAAATGCTGCTCCCTCTGACCACACCAGGCCCCAGGACCAGCCCAGCATGGGGGTTACCTGTAGAAGGCAAGAGGCAGCAGCTTGGTGTGCTGGTCTGGGGCCAGGCGGAGGAGAAGGTGCCCTAGCCCCGCATCTGCAATGCCAAGGGGCCTCAGTCAGCTCTGGGGATGCCTTGGGGACAGAGCTGTCATGCACTCGGGGAGTGTGTCTGGATGCAGGGACAACATGAGGTTGTGTGGCCACGCTGAGGACTCCCTTCCCCTGGGTCTGGGATGCTGGGCGGACACCACGTGGGGTGATGTCTGCAGGCAGGAGAGCAGACACCTACACATGGTAGCCGTGGTCTGAGAAGTCCTCTGGTGCTTTGAATAAGATGTACTGAATTTGCACAGTTGAACCAGTTGTAAATTTAGCAAGAAAACAGCTTGGAAAGGGAGCTCCAAGGGCTTATTCTTAACCATTGGCTGCTAACCAGTGGCCAGCTTACCTGTCTCTGTCAACTGAAAGAGCACCAGCCAATCCACCCTCCGCCTCTGCAAACACTCAAGGACTTCAGCACAGGTGTCCACAGCCTTCGGGGGGTCAACCGTGTCCTGTGACCAGAGAAGAGTCCCAGGAAGGGCTGAGCATGGCCCCCCCGTGTGGGCTCACGAAAGCACTGCTGTACTCATGGGAACATGAGGTGAGGGGCGGGGAGGGGACTGGACTTTTTGCTCAGTTGTAAATTGGTGACAACCTATAGAAACTGTCACACTGGAGATGCCCAGAGATCCAGGGTGTACTGTCTGACCCATGGGGAAAGTGGGTACCTCATCTGGAAGGTCACTTACGTTTGGGGTCAGATGTGACGAGAGCAGGTCCATTAAGGAAAAGAAAAAGAGGGGAACCAGTAGCTGCAGATGACAACAGGTATGATTAGGCACGCAGGTCACAGGTGTCCCAGCCCTGGCAAAGCAGACCTGCTCCTCCAGGTGGGCTAGTCTGGGAGCTTCTTGAAAACTACTGCTGAGTCAGTGTAACACCAGGTGTGGCAGGGGACACTGACCTGGCAGCAAGCCACACCCTTGAGAACTAGGCCCCCTGGCTGGAAGCTGGTTCTGAAGCCACTAAATTGTTTCTAGCCAAAGTACAAGACCTTTAGAAAACGTAGGGTATTTAAATGCCTACGTGAGATCTGTAGCAGAGCCACGTGATGATCACGTGGCTCTGCTACAGATCTCAGGGTGGCACTCCAATCGAGAGTCGACTGGGGCTGTGTGGGCCTATGTTGGCTGCTCACCCCCAGCTTGCCTGACACTGGTTCCATTTCCCAGCCTCCCATTCCTCTCTAGAGGAGCCAGGGCTTTCCATGCACACCGCACGGCACTCGCAGTCTATGTGGGTGCTGCTGCTGGGGTCAATGGGCAGTCAAGCTCGAGGGCCCAGCAACCCAGGGGCACAAGGCCGGAGTCTGAAAATCCCTGTACAGAACGTGGAGCCACCAGCATGGCCCAGTCAAGCTGCCTCGTGCTGTGCACTCACAACAGACAGCCTGCAGGGCTGTGGCAAGGAAAGACTCGAGCCCAACAGAAGCACTTGAGTCATTAATACTGCACGTTGGCTAGATTCATTTCAAAATAAAGGGATGGAAACCTCAAGATTTTCCCTGGAAAAGCCACATCCACTGGCAAACCCTGAGAAATGCCCTGATTAAAAATGAGCCTGCTAGAAAAAAATCAGCCCCGCCTTGCCTCCTCTCTCTCGCAGTCCAGCTTCGGCCATCTGGCACCTTCCGTCTTGACTTTTTTCACTGCAAAGTGCAACGCAGCAGCTGAAACCCAGGCAGGGCTGGGTGCAGGGGAAGTCGAGCCAGGGGCCAGAAAGCTGGGACAGAGAGATGCGTCATCGCTGCAGCACAGAAACGGCTTTCCAAGGAGGATACAGAGGAGCTCAGGTCCTCATATGCAAAACCTGGGTTTTGCATGAGGCCCTGGCAGAGCAAGATGCCAGCTCCACGTGGAAGCATACCAAGGGGACAGAGCCCGTGCACCAAACCTAACGCCTGAGCCTTGAAGGAAGAGTCTATAAGAACACTGGGAACTCTGTCCTCCAAGGAGTACTGGGTCGGGCCAAAGGGATCCAGCTCTATCTCTGGTGGAGTTAGGGTCAGTAGGAGAGTCTCCTTTATCCAGGGGACCTTTACCACTGAGCTATGTCGACAGCCCTTTTTTAGTTCTTTTCAGACAAAGTCATGCTAAGCTGCCGAGGCTGGACTTGGAACTTGGGATTCTCCTCCTGCATTACTGGGATTATAGGCTGTGCCACCACACCTGGCAATGAGCCCTGCTTTCTATGTGCTGAGGTTTCAGGCACATCAGGAAATCAAAACATGTCACCAAGGACCGTGAAGGCCTTCTTCCCTTTGGGTACTGGGATCAGTGTGTCCTTGGAGGGCCTCAAGAACTTCCTCAGGAGGTGGACTGTCCTGACTGCCACAGGTCTGACTGAGCTGCTGGGTGGAGAACTGAGCATCAGCACCCTAATACACCTGATGCTGGCAGTCTGGGGCCAGTGTTAGATGTGAGCAGGAGATGGGGCCAAGATGGGAAAAGCTGAGTTGGAATGAGACCTGCTGAAACCTGTCCCATGAACACTCCTGACCTGCCTGGCTGCTCCAACTGGAGGCTGTTAGCCTGGTTCTCACCACCCCTTTCCAAGGGACCCTAGCAACTACAACCCAGGATGTCCAAGGTCACAACCCTGCCTCATCCTGCTGCCAATGCCTACTTGCTGGCAAACTGCTGGGCTTCCTGCAGCCTCTGCAGCTCAAGGGGCAGTGGGCACTGGAAGCGTTTTCTCCACCGACTTTGCAGTATAGGCTCTAGGCTTGACCACCAGGCCTGAATGGGAAGAGAGCAGGAGAAGACAGGTCAGGGCAGCTCTGCTTGGCCCCACCTCCAGGACCAGAACACCTGTGTGAGGCGCTGTCCCACAGCCAGCTCCCCAGAGCCCCGCTGCTGCTTGGCTGGGGCTTCCCAGGTGCTCCCTGTGCTCACGCGGTACAACTTCAGGCAGCACCTTATTTACCTTGCTGTGTTCAGAGCAATCCCACAAGGCACCTGTACTCAAGGGCAGAACAGAGAATGCCCTGCCTCTGCCCCATGACACCCTGCAAGAGCTGGTGCCTCACAGAGAAGGAAGCCGCCAGCGGGGCACAGCTTCCCGCTGCCCTGAAGTGCAGGTCAGTTGTAGCCCCAGCAGGCAACAGGGGCGGAAAGCTGCAACTGAGCCACAGTGACTAAGATGGCGAGACACAGAAGGCAAGGAGCAGCAGCGAGGAGCCCTGATGGGCAGAGCCCCACACCCCAAGCAGCCAGTCCTACCAGCGCAGAGGTCAGAAGGATGGGGCATTTGGTCTGGCACCCAGTCAGAGTCAGGTTGGCTGTCAGCAAGGGGTCGTGGCTGTGTGCACAGGCATTCAGGAGCCCCTGCAGCAGAGAACACAGCAGAGGCTCACCCAGGCACCCTTGTGAGCCCAGTTCCTAAAGGTCACCACCCCACAGGAGATCTGTTCCCAGGGACCCTGAGAAGGTCCCATGGGAGGTGCTAGGGGAGACGAATTACCCTGAAGAAATGGATGGTGATGTCGTGGGTCAAGGCACCTCCCTGGGAGAAGTTTCTCTGTAAAACAGTTCAGCAGGCCAGTGGCAGAGAGAGGGGCAAGACCAGAGTGCAGTGTGCTATGGGGTTTAGCTATGAAGCCACACTAGGGACAACTGGCCATCAGCCACAGAAGGCTGCCCTAGTATGCTGCCAGAACCTCCCCAGCTTAGGCCCCTCAAGACTCCCCGCCTGCTCTGGCCCAGACACATGGGCTCCAGGTGGAACTGGGAGCTGTGGCTCTGACTCTAGCTGACAGTGACAACGCTATCATTACACTTCTCTGCTGACCACACACTATTCTCTGTGCTCTTGTCCACTTCCATGGGCTGCTGGGGATAGAACCTAGGGTCTGGCACATGCTAGGCAAGTGCCCTACCATTGAGCGACATCTCTAGCCCTTGTTATTTCATTCTGAGTCAGGGTCTTGCTGAATTGCTCCAGCTGGCCCAGAGCATGTGACCCTCCTGCCTCTACCTCCACATCACTGGGATGACAGCTGTGCCACAGTCTCTAAAGCTGCCACCACTCTGCTTTCCTGGTCGCCTGCCGTTCTGCACAACTGGAAGGGAACCTAAGCTCAATCTCCAGTCACGTTTGTGCATTGGTCTTTAGGCACAAATGCCAGCTGCTCTCCAGGGTGGAGTGAGCTGGTGATACACAGTCCCAGATGATGGACGCAGGATGAGCACCACCTCCGAGTGTGCAGCCCATGCTGGTGGATGTCTATCACAGAAGGAGGCAGGTGCCTGGCGGGCAGACTCCCACGGGCCCTGACGTGCACACCTGAGGGAGCGTCTGCAGAGGTAACAGGCTATGGAGAGAGCTGCCACAGTCCTCCCAGGAGTTCTTGGCTATCTAGGCACCATGCACCTATGACTTTTGTTCCTTTCCCAGAAGCCAGTGATCTGTGCCCTCCTCCCACCCCTGCCAGCCTATGCTCACACAGCACCTACCAGCTCAGAGTTGACCAAGTGAAAGAAATCCTCGCAGAGGGGGTCGATGGGCTGTCGGGCCTGCAGGCCGCCAACCAGGATGGATGGAGGCAGGCGAAGGAGGAGCCTTGGAGGCAAGGAGCAGTGTCAACAGTGAAGGCAAGCACAGGCGGCAGGCTCAGGAGGAGCCTAGCTCATAAGGAGCACCCTGCAGCCTGTGATGCCACCAAACCAGTGGTCTGGTCTGCCACCCCACCCAACGTGCCTTTGCCCTCAACTCCTGCACCAAGCTCAGGCTGCTGCAGTCCTGCAAAACATGCTAGCAAAAAAGAAATTGGTGAAGAGCTGTACAACCATCAAGCAGGAGACCGCACCACAATCCCCACGACGAGAATCAACAAACCACTCAGGCACAGAGAGGCACACCTGAGCACGCAGTGCACCTGAGGAGAAGGCCTGTATCCCCAGCACTTCCACCCCAGACCTGCCCTCCCCAGAAACCACTAAGGATGGCCCATCCCAGGCTTGGGGAGGCCAGAGACAGGCGACCAACGGAGAGGAGAAGCTTGGTACCCCTACATGACCCTGCCCAGCCAGGCCTTACCGTCTGCACGCAAGCAGCTCCTGCTGTCTCTGGAGGCTGGTGGCCACACCTGCCCCACCTGCCAGAGGCTGCAGCCGGCTGCGCAACACCGAGAAGACAAAGTGTCCCTGAGTAGCTGCACCCTGCTCCAGCTCCAGGTCAAGAACCATCTCCTGGAAAACAGCAAGGTCAGAGGCTCGGGCACTTGACCCCACTCCAAGCATGAGGAGAGTGGTACACGGAGGCCACAGACAGACAGAACAAATGTGGCAGCTCATCCACCTGGAAATCATCATGACTGCAAAAACCACAGGGAAGGACAGCCTTCACCCCAGGCAGCCGGATGGGCGATTCCCCATTACCCTCTGCCTCTCCACACATGCATGTGTGCGTGGGGACAGGCAGAGGGCGAGTTAGCTCACAGGCTCCGCTGGCCCATGCTCCACCGGCATCATGGTTATGGCCACACTTACCTGCCCCATCACGGGGTCCAGGCAGGGATGGTGGCTTTCTGCTGCCAACCCCCTTTATTTTGGAACATTTCCACAGACTTTCATGACACTGATGCTGTCATGAAATGAATGTTGAGTGTAACTTTTTAAATGCCAAAGGATGCTCAATTCATTCAACCGAGAATCCCACTCTGGAAATGCATTCAGATCTTGTGCCCTATTCCATTAAAATACGCCATGGCCGGTACTTTGCTCCCAGGAGCAGACCTGACTTCCACAGTTTGGGCTGGGAGCTACATCATCACTGATTGCACAAAACCCAAGTTGTGGCCATCTCCTCTGCTTCTCCCCCCCTTGCCATGTCTCATCCTATGTCCTCAGGATCCAGCCCTGCACAGGGGCCACAGAGGAAAGGCTCCCAGTACTCTGGTGACACCATCTCTGGCAGGCAGGTCTGCCTTGCTAATATGCACTGAGATTGTTTGCCATTGCCCTAGGCCAGGCTGCATGGAGTGGACGGGGAGTCGGGGCTCCTATGCACTAACCAAGCTTCGCCCCAGGCCTCATCAGGTGAGAGGATGCAATAGTGGGCTAGACAGGGAAAGCACAGACACTAGGAATGCTCAAGCAGGAGACAGCTCAAGGCCCTGGACACCCGGAGCTTTGGCTCCCTCCAGCTCACCTGCAGCCTGGAAAGAAGATCCCCACTTCCTGTGTGGCCACCAGGGACCCAGCCAGAGCTCTCCAAGTGATTCCAACTCCTCGAACTGAAAGTCAAACGGCACAGAAGTCTGCTCAGCATTTCCAGCAGTGCTGCAGTGCAGTACCCACCTCTATCCAGTGCTTGCATCACAATGCTTGATCAACAAGCAGCAAAACTAGCATTTCTTGTAGCCCAAATCCAGCAAGTATAACAAGTAGTACATATCAGGGAAAAGCAGGACTTATCCCTAGAATGCAACACTGGGTTTACATCAAGTTCCAGTTATAAAATCACTTATAATTGATACGGAAAGAGCATTCAATGGATTTCACAACTGATCATGATAAAGCCCTTGGATAAACTATGAACAGAAGGGTCCTGGTACCCTTCCTGTGAGAGTTTGTTTCTGGACTCCAGCTGCTTTTGATATATCTGTCTGTCCTCCAGCTCAACACTTTCTCAACATGATGCAGGGCAGCTTGGAAAACACCGTATTTAATTGTAAAGATAGAAGCCTCTCACCACTTTATTACAAGCTCTAGCTAGAGCCATTCAATAAGAGAAAGAATAAAGGCATCCAACCTAGAGGAGTAATGTGAACTCTGCTCACAGACGACATGGCCTGCACTAAATCCTGGGGACCCACACAAAAGTATCAGAGCTGATAAAGGAGTTCAGCACTTCAATATACCACCAGAAGCTGTATTTCCACACACCACGATTAATCCAAAAACAACACTAAGGAACCATTCTGTGAGCACCAAAACAATAAAATACATAGGTACAAACAACCCAGAAAGCATAAGGTTTGCACCCTGGAAACCATAAAATACTGTTGAAAGGAATTAAAGAAGACTAAATAAGCTGAGCTTAGTGGTACACGCCTATGATTCCTGTGCCAGCCTGGGCAAAAATATAAAAGTGCTCGGGTGTAGGTCAGTGGTAGAGCTCTGGGTTCAGTCCCTATTATCCCGCAGAACAAAACAGACCTAGGTAAATGGAAAGACACCCTATGGTCACGGAAGCCTCGGTGTTAAGATGACAATACTCGCCCAAGCTGGTCTACAACTGAATGCACTACCCATCAGGATGCCAGATGGCCATGGAGAAATCGAGGAGTTGTTCATAAAATTCAGATAGAATTGCAAAGATTGCAGAACAGCCAAAGCAATCCTGAAGAGCAACAAAGCTGGAGGACTCACATTTCCCCACGTCAACACCTACTGGAAAGCTACAGCCATCAGTGTGTAGAGCTGGAGGGCAGACAGATACATCAACTAGCAGGTGGAGCTGGGAGTCTGGAAACAAACCCCTGAAATGGGGTGAGAAGTGCCGGGACAGCTGGAAATATGTGACAATAAAAACCCCCTTAATACAGGTACTAAAACTAAAAACAATTTGAACTGGATTCCATCAAAATTTATAAAACTTCTGTGCATCAAAGGACAACTAAGAATGAGGACATTTACAAGTTGCTAAGAGGTCATATCTAGGGTATGTGAAGACTCTGTACAATGACCCAATTTAAAAGTGGGCAAAAGGGGCAGGGGTGTAGCTCAGCAGCAGACTGCTTGCCTAGGGGACACAGGACATGGGGTTTGATTCCCTAGCACCTGGGAGCAGGTGAGGGATGTGATCAGACGCTTCCCCAAAGGCACATGCAAAGGTGCTCCAAGTGGAGACCATGAGAAACAGCATCTCACGCCCAGAGGAGTAGGCAGGCAGGTGGCATGTGGGAAGTAGGGCCCTGCACTGCAGGTGGCTGCAGAGTGGGCAGAATGACCAGATCACCCACAGCTCCACTCCAGACACGCCTACCCAGAAACCTCGAGGAATGCGCACAGCAGCATCACTCCTGAGGGCCAGAATGCAAGCACAGCCTGCATCCACCCTGCACGCATGCACAAACCCGTACAGGGTGCACCCTCCTGGCATACCCTGTCATCAAAACTCATGTGTCTGGGGGCACTGCTCAGGGAAGCCAATGACACCCAGGACACAAGGGCACACATGCCGCTCCATTTCTGGGACGTTCAGAAAGCAGTTCCACAGCAGGAGGCTGGCTGCCAGGGCTCGGAGGTCACTAGCAGATACTCCCTCACTGAGCTTCACACACACATGGCTGTCCCTTCGAGGGGACAGGACTGTCTTGCTTCCACAGCATGGGCTGTACCACCCCAGGCTCTATACTGCTGCCACACTGAAGCACGTTTCCATGCAGCGGCAGATGGCACACAATGGCTATGCCAACTGGACAGCACCTTCATGGGCCCCAGGGAGCAAGAGGGACAGTGGAAGAAACTGTCTGGACTCCATCTTCACAACTAACATCCTAAGATTCACTGCCTACAACCTGGGAAGGAAACTGTCTGCCTCAGGGCCCCTACACAGCCCTGCTGGGCGAGACAGGGATGGGTGGAACCTGGAGAGTCACTGGCCGCATTCCTGAGGACAGAGGGGCTAGAACCGTCTACCCCAGGAGACACCTGGCCAGTTCACACTCACTGCTTCAAGAAGTGCGTGCCAGCCCTGCTACGGGAGGGGGATTTTCGCCAGGCCACGGGTACCATCTTCACATGGCCGACCCTACACAACAGGTGTGAAATAGCTGTTCCTCCTGCCACAAGCTGTGCCCTTGGAGAAAAAGCTGGCCCAGGATGCCTCCCTCTAAGTACCACCTTCTGCCCAAATGCGTTTTGTGTAACGTGATGGACTGAGGAGGGAAAGTGCATTCTCAGAACTGCCTAAAAGATCAGATGCATTTGGTGTGGTGTGGCTGACCTTTGATAGAAGTCCATCAGCACATTGATCAGAACTGTGCACGCCACCTGCAGGTCTCCATCACAGCCTCCTGAAGCAGAGGGCGCAGGGAGGTAGTGCTCATAGATTGCCCACTGGTGGAAGTCCTGTCTGCAAGTGAATGCTGATGTCAGTTCTGAGGAGGAGGAAGCAAGTCATGGCCAGTGGGAAGTCTGGGTGATTGCTGGGAACACTGGAGGGGCTGGGACTAACAGTCTCAGGCACACACTTCAGCATGACCTCATGAAGGCCTGACTACCTGCCAGGCTAGGACCTGAGGCTGCAGGAAAGGCATAATCTCAGGGGCAGATCCACCCTTGCAAACTGCTGCCATTGACCAAAGTCCAGACGGGGTGTTGTCCTGCAGCCTGACCAATGGCTACACACCCAAAAGACGTGCAGGCTGAGTCACCAAGGATGTCTGAACTTCGCTCAGTCTTCTTGCACACACAGTTGTGAGGTCTGTGTTCAGACTGCAGGGCAGTTGACAAAAAGTGCCGTGGCACTGTGGGAGCCAGTAGGGCCTCCAGGGGGTGGAGACCCATCCCACAACCACACAGCCTGCAAGTAGGCCAGGGCTTTGCTGTCTGTCGCCCGCACAGAGCCGTCTACGCATCACTCTGTGATTAAGAAAGGAGCCAGGTGGGTGGTGCACACCTGAAAACCCAACTACCCAGGAAGCTGAGGCAGGAAGATGCAAGTTCCAGGCCAGGAAGACCAGGGCTCAGATAAAAACTAAGCAGAGCTGGGTCCAGCTCAGTGGTAGAGCACCCCTGGCTCAACCCCAGGGCCACACATAGAACAGGACATCCAGGAACACGCCTGAACATAACCTCCAGGTAACAGAGACCTAAGGGTTAAGATGAGGTTCTTAGGAACCCTCACACCAAGAAAGTGTGGTCTGCCATGTCCGTTTCCCAAGCACCCAGATGTCCACTGCAGCGGGGGATAGTGTGAGCATGGGAGGGAAGACTCTCAGAGCCAACTAGTCTGGCAGCAGTGGCATTTACCAGTGGTACTTTACACCCAGCCTTTGTGGTGAGGACAGTTTCCTCTCTGTGCCCTAAACTCCATACCCTCAAACCCAAGTCCTTCAACAAGCCATTTATGTGCCCAGAACAGCAGGCCTGGCATGACAGTCTTCAGCCCTGGATTTGCCTAGCTCGTGGTACTCCCATCTCAAGATGGCACATGCCCAGAGCCACCCTTTCCCTGGCCCTGCCTTGGCAGTGCTCATCCCTACTTCCAGTTCACCTGTGGTCACTAGGGCACAGCCCGGTCAGGTATGCAGAGCCCTCTGTGCACCTCAGGTGCCCTGTCTGTACACAGGTGCCATCTTGGCAGGCTCATGTGACACACTGCAGGCCCAGCTTCTAGGACATTCTAGGAAAGTCTGCCACAGAACAGAAGCTCAACAAATGCTTCTTGAATGAAATAATTAGAATTGGTGCAGAGGCTACACAGTTAACATGAATGTTGCACTGAAGGTGAAAAGACAAACTTTGGTAGGAAACTGAGGCCATTTTTGAGGAGCTCCCGCAGACACTCACCTCTCTGTGTCTGACAGGGCATCAGCTCCAGGTTGGATTTCCAGTTCCAGTTGCAGCCAGTCCCCAAAGGTTAGCTGAGAGACAAGGGTGGTCAGTGCAGGGCAAACTCCACACACTTGTTGCTTTATCCCCAAAACAAAGGCCTGTCTAAAGCCAATTGCAGTTGAAGAGCCTCACAGAAAGGGCCCCCATTCTGTCAAGGAAACACCTGTGCACACTCCATCCCCAAGAGACCCAGGCCTCTTCTACCAAGTGCATCTGCTCTGAGCCCGAGAAATGAGGACAGGTACCATGCAGCTCTGACGCTATCCCTGCTCACTGTCCAGCCCTGAGCCGCTGGCCCATGTGCTGCAACCCCCCCCCCCACACACACACACACACACACCCCGGGTGATCAGGCAGAGCCAAGACAGATGAGTTCCTGGCTCCCTGAGCTGGGGGGAGACCTGTGGGAATAACCACTGCTCAGGTATTCCTCCAAGCCCACTTCCTGTCTGAAGGCTCCCAGAGCAGTTTTAAACAGATGTGGGCAGGTGGGCTGCTCTGAAAGCCTCACACTATGGGGACCCTCAGCAGACCCTTTGAGGGTGAGGGCAAAGGCCAGGCATCCAGGTGCAAGCTGGGAGCAGGCCCCACTGCCTCCATGGGGCCCCTGGGAGGAGCTGCCATGCCCCTCCCACACTGGGATGCTAGACAAGCTGGGAGAGTCGTGCAACCCACCTTTTAACAACTGTTCAGACACAGAAGGGAATGGTGGAGCAGCAATGTGGTTTTTTTGTGGGGGGTGGGGGCGGGGGGGGTGGTACTGGGGATTGACTGCAGGGGTGCTTAACCACTGAGCCACATCCCCAGCCCCTATTTTGTACTTTATTTCAAGACAGGGTCTGAGTTGCTTAGCGCCTCACTTTTCACTGAGGCTGACTTTGAACTTACAGTCCTGCCTCAGTCTCCCAAGCCTCTAAGATTACAGGCACGCCACCGCACTCAGCTGCAATGGTTTTTAATTCACCCTTAAAATCTTCTGTAAAAAGTTACTATTGGGCCAGGCACAGAGGCTCACACCTGTGATCCCAGCAACATAGGAGGCTGAGACAGGAGGATCACAGTTGAGAGACCGGCCTCAGTAATTTAATGAGGCCCTATCTCAAAATAAAATATATATGAGTTTAGTGGTAGAGCACCCCTGGATTCAATCCAGGGACGGCTGGGGGAGCCTGGGAAGCACATCAGGTGTTTCCACAGTGTTTCTCACAGCTGCGCATGGAGCTCTAGTGGCCTCAGTGCAGCGTGGGCCTGAATACCCAGGGCTTCGTGCCTCTCAGCTCAGCGCTCACACAGCCAGGTGGGGAGGGGCAACCTACACGAAACTCCCCAGTGAGCAGCTCCTGGAAGTGGCCCTGTCTCCACAGGGCAAGGGTGGCCATCTTCCAGTCTGCAGGGGAAAGGCACAGGGGTCCCCAGGGAAGGCCAGCTGCATCCTCCTGAGGGAGAGGCACCCGGGCCTCTGAGAAGAATCTGAACACAAGAAACTGGAACTGAAAGAGACACATGGTGAGGCCAGAACACTGTTCCCCCAGCCGTGCCCCGCAGGTGACCTTGGGGGCAAAGTGTCCCCATGCTTGGCATTTGCTGCCCCGAGCTTGCGTCTGTGAGTGCATCCGACTGCGTCTGGGGCTGCAGGCCCGCACATAGAGGGCTGGAGCCACACCACCTTCCAAAGGTCTGCCCTGGCCTCGTGGGAGGGGTTTGGGCTGTGGTACCCGCTGCCCCCACGGTGGACATCCAGGGATGGAATGCCCAAGGAGTCTGCCCTTCTGACAAACGCAGCAGAATCCACTAGATGAAGGCCTTAGGGTTGTCCTTTAGACGGAAAGAAGCTTCTCGTGAACACACCCTGTGAATGCCAGTGTCTGTTTCTTTAAAAGAGAAGCAGACGGGTGCAGCTGCTACTTCACACCCAGATTCAGTAGGGAGACACCCAGATGGCCACGGCAGTCCCCAACCAAGGCCCGATGCCCACTGAAACCTGCGACAGTGGCAGACCTGGCCTCTGCAGTACAGAAGACCAGGACCCTGTAGACCTACCTTTTTGACAAGACCTGGAGACAAACAGCTGTGCCAAGAGTCGCAGGGCTGGGGACAGACCCTGCACAAAGCGTAAGAGAGCGTTGCGGTGCAGAACCTGTGAACAGAGCAGCAACAAGCACTGACCTCAGCACCTTCTGGCCTGGGGGCCTGAGCAGTCATCCCCACAAGTCCCTGCCCACAAGAGGCAGAGATGCACACCATGTGGCACAGGTGCACTTCAGGTGTGCAAGGGCTGAACTGGTACCACCCGCCTCAGACCAACCAGGAGATTGGGTGTTCTGTAAGGGACACGGCCAGGAGGGAGGTGGACTTGAGGGTGTGTCATCCCCATGAACAGAAGAGGAGGAGTCCTCAGAGCCAGTGAAAGGTGCGCTCAGGGCGTGTCCTGAGAGATGAGCACGCTTCTTCGCACACAGGGGACATCCCTGAGCATGGCCTCAGCTTCCCTGGAGCCAGTCACATGAGGCCAGCTGTGATGATGTGCAGAGGCAACAATGAACGTGAACAGAGCCTTCCCCCCACCCACACCCGGAGACCAGAGCACCAGGAAGGTGGGGAGCAAGAAAGGAGACGCAGCAAAGATGAAAGATGGCGTGGGGCCAGGCTGCAGGCATGCGTGGGTGCCCCCGCCACTCCCAACGCACCCAGGAGCATCCACACCAGAAAACAGCAGCGACACCCTCCCCAGGAACTGCGCAGTAACCAAGGTGTATCAGAGACGTCCACCAGGTGGAAACCTCTCCCTCTACATGTCTGTCTTCTGGGGGCTAGTGACAAGGCCCCAGGCCTTGCACATGCTGGGCCAGTGCCCACCCAGTCCTCCAGGGTATTTATTATCTGATGAATGCTTATTTCTTTTCCCAGGAGGGGAGAGCAGTGACTGAGAGGAGAGTCGGCCTACCTCAGGCAGAAGAGCGAGGACTCCTTGGTGTGGCACGTCAGGAGGCTGTCGAGGAACCTGGGGACAGGAAGGCTGCTGGCAGGGGCAAGAGGGCCTGGCTCCACCTCCGGGAGTGCAGACCCAGGTTCACCCAGGTGGACAACCAGGGCAGCCAAGCCCAGCACATGGGAGGCACTCAAGCGTGGGCCCTGAAAAGAGGGATAAGTGGCAGAGCTGGTGACAGCCCCCCAGCCAGAAGGCTCCTATGCTTGGAGGACTAGCCAGGCTGCCCAGCCCTTGGAGCAGCCCCCTGTGTGGCCTGCATGAAGGGGGAGCCTACCTGGTGGTGGAGCAGCTGGCAGAGGCGGGTGAGGACTGCAGGGAGCAGCGTAGGTCCACACAGGGTCCTCACAAAGGCGGCTGCCCAGGGACCCTGCCTGTAGGTAACAGAGGTGAGGCCCTGGCCCCTCACAGCCCCACACACCACTCCCGCAGCTGATCCAGGTGCAGAGGCCCACAAAGGGCCAGGTCATTCCTCCACACAAGGGCCAAGGACAGCAAGACTTCTACAAATCCCCACTTTTTGGAAGTCGGCCTGGACACCTGCTCCTGAAAGTCGAGCTCACTCCTGCCTGGCCTGCCATCTTGATGCCCCAGGACAGCCCAGGATCACCCAAACTCCTGAGCCCTTACCTCTCTGGAGGGGCAGAGCTGGAGGCCACCATCAGGCTCTGACAGAAAGCTGAGAGCAGGAGGTCCACCACCTGGGAGGGACATGGCCACCAACGGCTGTAGCTCCCACCACTGGCCATGGGAAGCAGCCTGCGCAAGCACGAGGGAGACAGCAGTGCAGCTGGTCCCGGGACCCCCACCCCTGCCGATTCCAGGATTCTTCCCGGACCTGGAAATCAATGCTGAGGAGCCGAAAAGGGTGAGCAGAGACTCAGGCCTGGGGCTACAGAAGGTGTCTGCAGCCGGGACTCACACAAACGGGCTGGCTGGCCTGGGCAGGGAGGGCCCAGGTCTTTAAAGCCTGACCCAGCTCCTGACATGACCTACGAAGCAGCTGGTGCCACAGCCTGCACCCACCAGCTGCTCCTGCTGCTGAAGTTCTGGAGCAAGGACATTGAGCTGAATCCTCCCTCTGCCCTGGGGGCTGTCATCGTCACCATGCTCCAAGGCTGTGCTCAGTCGTTCAGAAACCACGGCCATCTGAGCAGATATAACTGCAGGTAGAGAAACCAGTCAGGGAAGACAGGAAACGGGGTAGACCAGTGCTCAGGGGCTGACATGGCCTCGCAGAAAGCTAAAAAGCCTCGGCCACCAGCTGGCCTACCCCTCGTGGAGGGCCTGGTGGCTCCCACACCCCAGCCAGGCAGTGGCAGAGACACTGAGCACATGTGGTGTGGACATGCTGGGCCTGCTTCCATTGCTCCTTCTTCCTGGATGAGCCTTCGGCTTCTGAAACCCCAGCCCCACCCTCCCACACGGCACCGGACACCCGGGGCGAGACGAAGGCCGACCACCCCACTCAAGCATGCAAACCTGTGGCTCAGGAAGCAGCTGAGCTGACCTTTTCAGGTTCTGGCTCAAGAGCAGAACTCTTCACAGTGCCCTCCAAGGGCCAGGTCCTGGCCAGGCCTGGCAGCACAGGCCTGTGGTGTGACCACTGGGGAGACTGAGGCAGGGGCATCACTAGAGCCCAGGTGTTTGAGTCTAGCAAGCCCAGCCTCAAAAAACACCACAAGAGCATCCCAGGACCACCTGAGCACGGCTCTGAAAGGCTGCGTCTCCAGCCTGAGCAGGCGGCCTCAGGGAGGGGCTGCACCCCAGAGCTGCAGTGCTGCGGGGCTGTTTGTGTGACCACTGAGACTGGTCACTCTGTGTGACGGTGGGCGTGGTTTGTTCCCAGGGTGGTGGCACTGGTGGGTGGTGGTGGGGTACCCAGGGCATCACCTCACAAGGCCTGCTGTGGCTCTCCAGGACACTACTGGGCCTCCCAGGAGACTGAGAGACTGTCACAAAAGCACAGGCCTGATCGTCCTGGTCTCTCTGGCCTCCTGCTTGCCTGTGCCCTTCTGCACATACAGTCAAGCCTTGGACTGCCAGCCTCCAGAACTATGAACTAAATATCTCTTATTTCTTCAAAGATTACCCAGCGTTGGGTGTTTTGTTATAGCAAGAGTAAGCAGCAATATGCTCAGGAAACATGTGGCTTACTTATTTCAGATTCTGCATCCTAGTAAGAATCTGAACGTCCTGCAGTCAGTTTTCACTGCCACAGACTGCTGGGTTGCACCAAGTGCTAAGGGGCTCTATGCATGCTCTCACTCCATGCATGAAGCCTTCACCCCCTCTCAGTGTTTCCGAGACAGAGTAGAGGCCCAATGTACTTCACATTAACGCAGACAGCCAGGATACTGGAGAAACAGCCTCCTACGAGCTCTGCTCAGCTTTCTTCCTCCATTGCCCATCCCACTGGCTGCCAAATAGCACAGAGTTCATCTTTGCCCAGGGTCTAGGCAGCTGCAGTGAGACCAGAGGAAAGGCACAGCCTCCACTGCCATGGCTCCAAGCCCACACTGCACACTCACGCAGAACACACACACTCTATCAGACACCCTGTCCTCACCGTCAGCCTGGGTGGGGTCTGCCATCAAGGCTCTGAGTTCTCTCAGCGCAACCCTGAGTGGTCCCAGGGGCTCCTCAGCATGGGTGGGTTCTGCCCTCATTCCCGAGGCTGCACCTGAGGGAGGGGAGGCAGAGGGGAAACTCAGGTCCCTGCAGATACCAGGCCTAGGTGTCAAGGACGGACAATGGATCCTCTCTCTGACACTGTGTACAGCGTGTCACATCAAAATGCTTATAAACAAAGTGAAGAAAAGCAGTTTTGCAGACCACAGCCATGAGTGTGAAAAGCACAGATGTGATGGAAACAGCTGCACAGATGGGGGTCAGGGGCAGGTGGGCATCCCCGCTGGACAACTGAGGGAGGCAGCCACACATCCACATCCCCATAGCAGGCCTGGGACAGAGCTGGTGACTGTCACCAGCTCCGCCTGCGGCTACATCTACTCAGGAGACACGTTGGCAAAAGATCCTGGTTTAAACTCTCACATCGTTTTCGCTAGAAAAGGAGAGGCATGCCTTAGAGCAAAGCAAGCTCACATGTGGCTTGGCTGCAGAGGCACACACTTACCAGTGCACGCTGTGCCTGTGGGTCTCGCCCAGCAGGAACTGGCAGCTATGGCTCTGCTCGAGAACTCCACCACACACCATGAAAGCACCTGGGGACCCAGGAGCTGAGGGCAGGGTCGCAGGCCTGTGACCCAGTGACTCAGCATGGGTCATGAATCTGAGTCTCAAAACAAAACTTAAAAAGGTCTGGGTTGGCCCGGCACAGTGGCTCACACATGTAATCCCGGAGGCTCGGGAGGCTGAGGCAGGAGGGTAGCAAGTTTAAAGCCAGCCTCAGCAACTTACCAAGACCCTGACTCAAAATAAAACAAAAAGGTTTGGGGATGTGACTCAGTGGTGAAGCACTCCCTGGGTTCATTCCTGGGTATCAAAAAAATTTCTGGGAAGTACAGCTCGGTGGTAGAGCACTTGCCTAGAAGCATGAGGGTTAGGGCTTGGTCCCCTAAAGTAGGAAGGTGTGAAGGAAGGCAACTCTCTGAAGAGAAGCCCTCACCATGTGGCTAAGGCGTCAGACCTCCCAGCTGTCCCCAACACAGCACTGGTCCCTGCCAGAGCTTCAGACTCTGCCCATTTGAGTCCCCTGGGTCTCCACAACCGTGGGGAACTGTCTAGGCCTATGGAAGGAGGGTTGGAAATAGAACTGGAGAGAGGACTCTGTCGAACAGAACAGGCTTGTTCAGCCTGCATGGCCCTACAGATGTCAAGGGACATAAAAAAGGAACAAACACAAAGATGGACACAGTACGCCTGCAGTGCTAGTGATTTAGAGGCTGAAACAGGAGGATCACAAGTCGGAGGCAGCTTAGTGAGACCCTGTCTCAAAGCAGAAAATAAAAAGGGATGGTGCAGCTCAGTGGCAGTGTATTGCTAGGATTAACCTCAGCACCGAGAAGAGAACCCAAAACCCAAACCCACAAACTCTCTGCTTCAATGACAAGGTGCTGGTCCCTGTGACAAAATGACAGGGCAAAGCACCAGGTTGCTCTGGACAGGGCCCTTCCCTGCTGCTGCAAGAGCTGGCAGAAAGGACCCGGGTGTGCATGTGCAGACGTGTGCGACAGCGACCTGCAGGGCTGTGGAGCTCCGCCTCACGCTCTGTGCTCACAGAGCAAGTGGGGCCTCCACCACCAGCCGTTCCCTATGTGCTTCACGGGGCCATCTAAGGCACCAGAGTAGTCACACATCATGGCACCTACTGTGCCTGCAGGAGTCAGCACAGGCACCTGGCAGGCACAGGGGCTTCCGCCCCAAACACCCCTTATAAGAGCCAGGTTAAGGCAACCTATGGAACCCCCATCTCATTCGGTGTCACTATGAACAGCCCTGGCGGTCACTGATGCAGCCTTGGGGGCAGGGGCTCTGAGCCAGGGAAATGGGAAGCATCAGCCCCAGCAAGGGCAAGACTACCTTCTGGAGGCTTCTCAGCAGTGGAGCAGGCTTGGCAGTAGGCAGCATACAGAGACTGGGGGATTTTATCTGCTCTGGATCAGAAGACAACAATATTCAAGTCAATCATGACAATTTAATTCCCTAGTTTCTAACTCCTAAACTGTTTTGCAAAGTAAAAAACATTAAATTTAAATAAATGATACCTCACTGTGTATAGTACTATCCTGGTTTTTGTTTATTACCAGGGATGGAACCCAGAGGCACCTAACCACTGAGCCACATCCCAGCCCTTTTTATTTTGAGACAGAATCTCACTGAGTTGCTTAGGGTCTTGCTAAGTTGCTGAGCCTGGCCTTGAACTTATGATTCTCCTGCCTCAGCCTCCCAAGTCGCTGGGATCACAGGAGTGTGCCACTGCACCAGGTTCCATAATGGTTTAAGAAAAAAACATACATCGGCTTTGCATGGTACTTCCTCCACAACACACCAAGCGTGATTATGAACAGCCATCACTACTAAGAAGACCCGGAAGACCCAAGTGACACTGTCACACCCAGGCAGAACTCGCGGACAGTCTGTGTGACCCATCTCCAGGCTGCCTCCCAGGACTCTGCTCTGCCGCTCTAGGCTTTAATCTGGAGCACAGCTAGGCCCTCATGCTCATTTCTTGCCAGTCTCTCTGCAGGTGCCAGGCGCAGACCAACCCATTGGGCATCTGTGCCGATCCCTCCCAGGGCCTGCAGCAAGCACTTTTGATGCTGTCCCTAGGGCTGGCAGAATGCACTACAGGCCTCTGCATCAGATGTAACAAGTAGTCCCCACCCTGGAAGGAGGCTTGGTGACCTATCTGTGGCGATGCAATTGTCCTCCATGTCCTGTGCCATGGCCTACTGCCCTGTGTCCAGGCAGCACGAGCCCCTGCTGGCTCCCCACACCACTGTCTGCACAACGCTCAGTCAATGAATTTGAAACCTAGATGACACAGGTTTTCTAGAAACCTACAAAAGACTCAAGAGGAATAAAAAAAAAAAACCTGGCTAACCTAATAGCTATTCACCACAGACGTCATCAGGACCAGACAGCTATGCAGCCAAGCGTGGCCAAGCCGCAGCCGTAGGAATCTCAGTTGCACACATTGCTCAGGGCACAGAAGAGAACCACCCATCCATCTTGTAAAGCAAGAAAACGTCACTGCCTAGGCAGCCAAGGTACACGAAGAGGATCAGGCTCAGGCTTTGTGAAACTTGCCCCGACCATCACCATATCACATCCAGCAGTTCCTAACAAAACCTCATCCCAGTAGGGACATGCCAGGAAGGCAAGGACAGTTCAACAGCAGGAAAAACCTACCTCAGGCATTACCACAGGACCAGAAGAGGAGCACGATCGTCCCGAGGACTCAACCCCTCAGGAAGTCCTGAGTGGGCCAGCGAGAGGGGCCTGCTCCACACAGAGACACCCAGAGCAGTCACCACGAGCCCCTGGTCCAGGGTGACTCTCAGCAGCATTCCTACTGCAGTGAGGATCAGCAGGGGAGGCCAGCTCCAGACTGCTGTCGTTCTAGGATAAACCAAAACTCCTCCTAACACAGCATGACAGAAGGCAAGAGGCCAGCGGCTAACAACCAGAACAGATGCTAGACACCAGGATACCCAAACCTCAGCCATACCCGAAGAAAGAATTCAAGAGAACATGCTGTTTGCCGTAGCAATGAAATCTAGGTACTCAGTAGTCATCTACAGAAGATGCACAAAAAGACACACTGGAGAACGGAAAACTGTCACTGTCACTGCGCTAGAAGCTCCCAGTGTTCCCGGACACACCCTGAGGATATTCACTGAAGTTGTGCTTCAAGAGTCCAGCCTGCAGGCCTGGACAGCTGTTGGCCGTCCAGTCTGTGAGACCTGATGAGTGGTGTGTGCCGAGAGGGTGCTCGGGCAGAGGGAACCCACACAGCAGCTAGAACAGAGCCAGAGCACGATGGGCCACCAAGGGGAGCTCTGGCTGTGCTGGCCGCAGCTGAAGACAAAAAACTCATGTGTGAGCCAGGAGCAATGGAGCACACCTGTAAACCCAGCAGCTCGGGAGGCTGAGGCAGGAGGACTGTGAGTTCAAAGCCAACCTCAGCAACAGCAAGCCACTAAGCAAATCAGCAAGACCATAAATAAAATACAAAATAGGGCTGGGGATGTGGTCAGTGGTTGAGGGCCCCTGGATTCTAACCACAATCCCCCCCCACCAAAAAAAAAAAAAAACACAAGACGCCAACTCGAACCCACTGGAAATGCTCCTACGGAAAAATGAAAACAATGCTGGTGAGGGTGTGGAAACACCCAAGGGCTCTGCCTAGCAGAAAGAATCCATTTTAAAAGGCAAAGATAGCAAAATATGGGTGGAGGTTCATGGTGGTACTTTAAATGTGTTTTAAATTGCTGTATGTGCAGTTCTATGTATCAGAAATACTTTATTTATATCACAAATAAATAAAAACAAGGATGCTAGAGGTTTTTCCTGCCAGCTCCCATGGGCCCTGGAAACAGCAGGCACTTCCTACCTCCCTCAGGAAGAAGGGCCTTGCAGGCACCCACCCTCCCCGACCAGTGGAGGCCACCTGTGGGCGCGCTACCCAAGACCCCAGGATCCTGGTGAATCTCGAGGGCCACCCTAGTCCTTTCACCTGAGGCTTCTTCAGGCTCTTCCTTTCCTTCTGTCCCTAAATCCTCTTACCACAGTTATGAACTGGAACGTCAAAACTAACCCAGTCTCCCAAAGTTTCACTCAAGAATGATACTAAGTGGTAATACTGAGAATTAAGCAAATTTTGTTTTAAAAAAATCATAACCAACTACTTTTGGAGCCAACATTTTACAATAAACACAGGTGAAAGACATGTCTCTAAAAGAGAATCACACTTCTCTGCATCATCAAAGCCCTTCTGGAAAAGCTCCCACGTACCTCTTCAGGGCTTCTATGAGAGCCTCTCGAGAATCCGGGGCTGACGGGAGCTGTGGAAAGAACCAGAGCCCAGTGAGGAGTGTCTCGATTCCAGAGGTGGCCACATGCCTGGGCACGTCGTACTCACCACTCGCGGTGTGAGCAGGGCAGGCAGGAAGTGGGACAGGTAGTAGGACCTCCTGAATATGCTGCAGCACAGAGAAGCAGACAGCACCACAGTCAGCCCAGGTGCTCTGCACAAGGCTGCTGCCTACCCGTCTGCCGTTCTCTTTCCAGGATGCTGGGATGAGTCTTGCAGAGGGCATCAGTGGGGCGACAGCCCTGCACTCCAGGGAGTCGGGGACAGGACCGCCTGCCCAGGCGTAGGCAGGGTCAGCGGGGACCATTCTCTCCTTGGATCTGCGCTCAATCCCAGGAGCTACACTCAGTCTTGCCTGCACTGGTAGCAACCACAATTCTGGGTGTTTTAGGACCACACTGAATCCAATCAAGTTTGCTGTGCAATTCCCTGGACTGACTCCATTTTGGTCCCTAAGCAAGCATTGATTAGAAAACCATCATTGGGTTAGGCATCGTGGCGAGCACTGATAATCTCATAGACTCCCGAGGCTGAGGCAAGAGGATTGCAAGTTCAAGACCAGCCTTAGCAACTGAGTGAGACAACTCCAGTCTCAAAATCAAAAGGGCTGGGGATGTAGCTCAGCACTTAGGCATCCCTGGGTTTAATCCAGCACCAAAAATACAAAACCCCACCACTGCTACACTGGCCTGTGGTCTTCCCTCCCACGTGACTCCAGGGCACCCACTGGCCGTTTCTGGGAGGAAGAGCACCCTGTAACTTGCAGCAGGACACAGCTCTTGACCCTGCCACCACCGTGCCCAGCAGCCCCCTACCTAGCCTCCATGACCGGGACTGGGATCTTCCCCGTGTGCTCAAACACTAGGAGGGCCTTCTCCACGTCTTGAGCTGCCTGGCTGTGGGGCTGGTTCTGCACAGGGAGGAGAAAAAGGGAGGTAAGGAAGCAGAGGCCAACCCGTAAGCCCCACCCTCTTGGACCTGCATATGGGGGAGGGCTGCAAGAGCCACTCTAGAGCCGCCTTAAGTGGCATGCCTGCTGTTCCACTTTAGTTGGCATGGGGGACAATGTGACAGAGTGGGCTAACACTGGCGCTGCCAGGATTCTCTGCAGTCGGGAGGTAAAAGCTTAGGGCTGGGAAGTATCTCAGCTGAGCACACGCTCAGCAGGTTTTAGGCCCTTCATTTATGCAAAAACTACATAAATGAAGGTGAAGGTTGAGGAGGGTACTACCCAGCAAGTGGAACTGGGACACGCAGATGGATCCTCCAAATGCATGCAGAGAGGTAAAGGGGACCTGGAATGTGCACATAGACCCTCCAGATACATGCAAACAGGGAAAGAGGCCACACTGTCTTCTGCCCTCAAAAGCACTAACCCAGCAGCCTGGGCCCTCGGGGACAGCTCAGCCCTCTAGAGAAGCCAGAGCGCCTGGATTGACTGGGATGCTGTCTGCTGCCCGCTCTAGGATGTCAGGGGCTGCCCTCAAAGGGTGGGAACAAGTGGAGACTTAACTTTTGAAATTTAAAATTATGAAAAGTCAGTCATGAGTAACTTATAAATAGCACCAAATCTCCAAGGACACCACCTGGCAGTGGTTCACCGAGCACTTCAGTGGCCTCTGTACCTATTCTTCAGCAACTCACAGCAGCACAGAGTCTTAAAAGACGAAGAAGCTGTTTCTACAGCAACACATGCGTCACGTGGCCAGCTGACATCTGTCCATAACAACCACTGGCACTTCTCTTTAATTCCTGGACAAATGCAGCCAATCACCTCTCACCTCTCCACTCCAGCCCACAATGCCAAGAAGCCCTGGTATGGAGAGCCACCATGAATTACTTGACGGTCTTCTCTTTGTATGGAAGCCAGGGAGACCTGGGTTTGGCATTACAAGCTATTCTGTGGCTCTTCCCATTCAAGGGATTGCCCAATGCACGTGACCTCTATCTCTGCTCTACTAAGGAAGACCCGTCTCATAGCCTCCGGAGTTGGGCGTAACTTGTTGGAAACTGGACAGCCCACCTCCCACCTGATTTGGAAAAGAACATTCCCTGGAAAACCTTTGATGTTCCCTGATAATAAATAAAGCCAGCGTGGGCTCCACCTTGCCCTTGGTTTCTTTTTAGTGTGAAAGCTCAGTCCCTAAGATCAGCTACCCCCTCCCGCCCCTGCTTTTAAAAATCACTTTCTGTGCCCTGTGGTTTTTTCCTCATTTTCTCTTTCTTGGCTTTTTTATTCTGCAGCCAGCCCATTCCACCAAGAGGAACTCATTTCCATCGCCTACTCGGGGTGTAGGCGAGACCCTGGCAGCAAGCTACCCCAAATGAGGCACCTGTGGGCCACTACTGACCAGACGCCCTCAGGGAACTGCCGCGAGCCAGGCACAGGACAGAGAGAGCCCAGGAGCTGGAGCTTGAGGCCCAGGAATGAAGGCCAGACCCCAGACCCACAGAGCAGCCCAAGGTGACCCACCTCTGTGACATCCTCACTTGAGGACAAATGCTCGTAGAGCCCCATATTCTCCAGAGAAACCTTCAGAAAAGAAAAACAAGAACATGAAAACAAAGATGGCTTCAGTGGTGCTGGCAGGGCCAGTGCATGCAGACTTGCCTTGAGGTCAGCCAGCCGAGTCTTAGCCAGGGCAACGTAGTCAGTGAGGAGGGTGCGGTACTTCCCGGGCACCAGGGGCGGGTAGAGAACATGCACCTGCGAGGACACATGGCAACATCAGTCCCAGGGCACCAGGCACTGCCACACCAAGACGGCCATGGCGGCCAGACACATGCTGGGCAGTGGAGGGCCACCCCCAGGCAGAATGCAGAGAAGAAACTGACGCCAGGGCCAGGCAGCCAGAGGCTCCAGGTACAGCGGCACCTGCAGCTGCACAGACCCACCAACATCCCAGTCAACCAGAGGACAGCAGGTCCACACCAATGCCACATCTGCGACACCACCAGAATGATGGATCCGTGGCAGGCAGTGTGCTGTGAAAAGGGCGCCCACCGCCCCACACTGAGCTTGTGTCCAGGGGGAAATGACAATGGAACAGGAGCCCAGAAGCACGGCCTGCAAGGACTAACCCAGGCTCTGGCCAGCAGTTGGAGCTGCACCAGAGGAAAAAAAAGGCAGAGAAGCTGCCACAGAGACCCAGGAGAGAGCAGGTGGCTAAATGTGGGAGAGGCTCTGCACAGGTCATGGCGCAGGAGAAGGCCTTGGGGACCGCGTGCCTCGCCTCTCAGAGGTGGGGGCTGGGGTGCACAGGGGGCTCAGATTGACTGCTCCTCCTCCCTCAGCACAACAGCACCCAGAAGCAGCCCAGAGCTGGGAGTGGGCAGGTGCGGCAGGATCTAGCCCCTGGCTGTGGGGGCATAGCCCCTCTGGAATGTAGTGGGGACTCCTGAGTAGAGGCTGAGATGTCAGTATCCACGACAGCATGATTCTCAGCAGCCAAGCTATGGAACCAGAACTGATGCCCGTAAACAGAGGAACAGATCGAGAAAATGTGCACATGTACAAAGCGGAGTTCTACCCAGCCATAATGAGAGTAAAATCACAGCATCTGCAGGTAAATGGATAGAAATTGAGAACATCATGCTAGGTAAGCTGGACTCAGAAAGTCAAGGATCAAATGTTTTCTCTCCCATGGGGAAGATAAAGGAAAGTAAGGGAAAGTTGGGGAGGGGACCGGATTTCATGAAGACACAGAAACACAGGGAAGATCAGTGGGTAGGAGAAGGACCAGAGGGAGAAGGAATGGGAAAAGGAGAAAAATGTGGAGTGAACCTAACAGAATCATGTCTCGTACATGCACATGAACTTACGTACTGTAGCAAGTACCAATCAAACATCAACAACAGGGAAAGGAAGACCAGAAGACAGAGGAGGGAGACGGGGGAGGGAAGAGGAGGGAACCAGGAGGGCCGACATCAAACTGCCTGCATGTACAGTTCTGCCCAAGCTACCCGCATACCACATGTGATCACAATACGCTAACAAAACCCAGGCTACACTGGGGCAGTTAGCTGATGAACCAAAGGTCTCTAACTTCCTTCCCCAGCCTCTCTATGGGAGAGGCCCCAGGTGGACGCCCACACCCAGCCTGGGGCATGTCATGAAACTAAAATGGACTTGTTACGAAAACTCAAACTACAGTAAACTCGCGAGAGGTCTGTTGCCTGCTCTCTACTCCTAGGAGTGATGACCCTAGGCAGTTCAGGCTATATCCTTCCAGATTCTTCTCCTTAAATGCATTAAAAAATTTACCATTTTTAAAAGAAAATGAGATCTGTCTCTACTGGCTACACCACCTCTCGTCTTGCCCACATCTTCCCAGGCCTCCACCCTCCCACGCCCAGCACAAGTGAGGGCAGAGAGCTCGAGGGACCACCAATGCAGGCGGCTCCTCACCTGCATGTACCGGGGGGCTTCCCAGGGCACGAGGCTGGACAGGAACTTGAAAAGGAAGACCAAAGCCTTCTTGCTGCAGCTGTGGTAGCCCCGTGCACTCCCAAACGAGGCCTGAAGAGAGAAGGCAGAAGTGCTGCTCAGTGAGGTACCTGCCCACAGGCTGCGCATGCCCTGCCTCGGTCTGGCCCACAAGCAGAAGCTGCTGCTAAAAGAGAGACACGAGAAGCAATTCAGGTCCACACACTTAAGACAGGTAACAGCCGAGCCCTGGCTGAGGAGGAGGCTGAACGTTTACTCAAAGAAAAGTCAAAAACCATTCTGAGCAGCGGGTATCTACTGGAGGATGCCACGACAGGACCAGGGACCAAAGCGGGAGGGGTTGGGGGAAGGAGGCTTTGGGTCAGCAGTGGCTCTGAGCACACAGTGTGTACCTGCAAAGAGCAAGCCTAGGAGAGGACTGGGCAGTGCTCCCACAGACCAGAACCTGCCCTGTGCCGACTACGGGGCACAGAGCACCAGCTCCTGCCAACCCCAGAGCTACTGCTCCAGGCATCATGAGGACCCAGCTGCATCGAGAACAGGGGCCACACTGGGTCAAGAGCAGCCTCCTGTGTACCCTCCCCACTGCCCTGCACAGAAGAGCTTGTGTGCTCTCGACCAGCACTTCCAAAGCCCTCCACTGGCATGTCTGACAGCAGCAGGTGTGGGAACTGCAGGACAAATCACAGAGCAGGTGGACTAACGGAGGGACACAGAGCAAGGACACAGGCCCCTGAGGACAAAGCCTGCACCTCAGACCTCCAGGGAAACCACAGGCACAGGTGTCCTGCTGAGGTTGCCCAGCACTTGCTTTCACTCCCACCTACTGGGTTTACTGACTGTCCACAAGAGAGAAGGAGCACTGGGCACAGTGGCGCATGCCTGTAATCCCAGGCTCGGAGGCGGAGGCAGGAAGATCTCGAGTTCAAAGCCAGCCTCAGCAATAGCGAGGCACTAAGCAGCTCAGTGAGACCTTATCTCTAAATAAAATTCAAAATAGGGCTGGGGATGTGGCTCAGTGGTTGAGTGGCCCTGAGTTCCATCCCTGGTATCCTCCCCCCACCAAAAAAAAAAAAAAGAGGGAAAAAGCCTTTGTCCAGCAGTTGAAGGAGGACACAGAATAAAACTTGGAGACACACAAGGAAGCCTGTCGGGGACATCGCTGCCACAAAGCCATCCTGAAGCTCTTTTCTCGTGAGATAGCAGCACTTGGGACCCCAGTGGTACCTCCACAGGCCAGCCAGGAGGACGACACTCAGCTTCCCAGGAAACTCACCTTGAACCAGTCTGCGTAGGATGGGAATACAGAGGGGCCCTCCTGGGCAGCCTGGCGCACAATCAGGAAGGCAGTGACCATGCTGTCCAGATGGTAGCTCTCGAAGGCATGGGCCATCAAACGGGCCACCCAATCTGTCAGACAGTGACACTGTCAGCAGGCAGATTAGGCCATCCTGGCTGGGATGTGCCCTCCCAAACACCAGCTTCCCGAGGACTGAGCCACGATTGCAGCACAGACCACTGGACAGAGGAAGTAGCACCACTCCTTCACTCCTCGGCCACAGGCAATCTGGACCGTCCCAGCAACAGGGCTCACAGTTGGGCAGCAGGAAGGGCTTCGGGTGGATTCGACCCCCAGCAGGTTCTGCTGCCACCACTGTGCACCCACTCGCTCACACCCTGCAGCTGAGTGCACACCTTGCACCAGCTGCAGTGCCTCTGGGAAGCAGACGACCAGTGTAGACACACAGGACAGCACGCGCTGCCAGTTGACCTCACGTGTCTCCAGAACCTCCTGCAAACGGCCGACTGACTCCTCTGGACTCAGCATCACCAGGAGCTGAAATCAAAGTCCCAGCTCCCTCAACACCACGGCAAACCCATCGCACCGGCACTGGTCCTTCTCCCTGCAGAGTGGGGGGTCCACCAGAAGGGCAGATCCAGCAGGGATCAAGGAGTGCTCAGAGTGAACAAGTGGCATCACTTCTCACAGTGGCCAGCGCTGGCTGGAGAAACACTTGTCTCAGAAGGGGTGGTTGGTGTCCAGGAGGGAGTGACCAGGATACCAAGCCGAAGCCAGAGCCAGCCTCAGATGGGGCCCCGCCCCACCCCGGGTGCAGTGCAGGCACAGGACAGCCAGCAGACACTCACCCTGCGGTACAGCGTGGTGAGCAGAGGGTGGGTCCTGACGAAGCTCCACTCTCGCTGCCTCTGAATTGCATCAGACGCTCCAGGAGGGAAACAGACATGAGCTTCAAGTTGGCATTTATCAAACAGTTTTAAAGCTTCCACATGGAGGGCTGGGGTTGTGGCTCAGTAATAGAGCATTTGCCTCGAATGTGCGAGGCCCTGGGTTTGATCCTCAGCACCACATAAAAATAAACAAACAAAACAAAGGTATTGTGTCCAACTACAACCAAAAAAAATTTTTTAAAAAGCTTCCACATGGAAAGAGAGTTGGGTTTCAGTCTGTGTATTTAACTCCAGCGAAGTGCCCATCTGCCTTGGGACCTGGGGTGCTGGCTCCAGGACTCAGGCTCTGCACAAGTCCTTACAGACAACGGCAAGTCTGCTCAGAGCCCACCTCTCTCTCCAGGTCCTTCACCTCTCCAGCAGCACTGCAGATATTTCTATTTTGGTAGCAAGACAAGTGATAATTCTTCTGTTTTCTCGTAGTTTCTCGTAAGAAAACTCAGAATTATCTTATTTTTTGGTAATGCTGGAGATGAAACCCATAGTCTCACACATTCCAGGCAAGTGCTCTACCCTAAGGGCATACCTCTAGCCCTGGAGATCACTTTGAAATGAAAGGACATTTGGTAACAGAGAGCTGTGAAAACCTGGGGCTACTCAGAGCATTCAGCTGCACCCTCAGGTCTCAGGGCCCAAGTTCCTGTAGAGGACAGAGCCAGGAGTCCATCAGGGCCCAGGGAGCTGCCCCAGAGTGCACAGGGGCCAAGGTGCTGGGCCTACCTTTCAGTACAGGGCTGTGAGTGAGAACCTGGGTCAGGGTGTGGCTGAGGAACCTCTTCAGCGCATCCGCAGAAACCCCACCACACGGGAGAGCCTGGAACACGCCAAGCCTGAACACAGCAGAGGGAGACTCAGGAGGGAAGGCCGCCCCTTCAGGCCCAGTCCTCCCACCGTGGGTCTCGAAGGCATTCCTTTCTTTATCCTTAAAAGCGCTGTCTTGGTCAGGCCATGAAGCGGCAGGGGTTTTTGTTTTTTCTTTCTTCTTTTGATACAAGGAATAGAAACCAGGGGTGCTCTACCACTGACTACACCCCCCCAGTCCTTTTTATTTTATGACAGGATCTAAGTTGCCCAGGTTAGTCTTGAACTTGCATCCTCCTGCCTCAACCTCCCGAGTCCCTACAATCACAGGTGTGGCCACTGCACCTGGCCAGCTCTAGGCTTTGAGTGGAATCCAAGGAAAATGGTCTTATCAAGACAGAAATGAAGCAGTGAGGAGCTGAGAGTACAGAGGCAGGCTGGAGGAGAGAAGCAGATAAGGAAGATGGGCCATAACTGAGCAGCAGTGGGCAGCCAGGAGGCCTCAGCCACCAGGAGCAGACCAGGGCATAGCACCCGGCATGGGCGGTGGCTGTGGCAGCTGTGCTCTTGTTGGAACCAACGACTCCGAGAGAGCAGGGAAGGAGCATGGGGCAGATGTCCCTAGGCTGGGGTCCGCCTGCCACTGTGCAAGACTCCCCAACACGGGTAAGGCACCCACAGCCATGGCAGCGAGGGGGCAAGAACCAAGGGGCCAGCAGTTAAGTCCTACCCCTGCCAGCCTTCTCCACAGAGCACGCTGCAGCCGGGCCAGCGGGAGCCTGGCCATTCCCATGAGAGAATGTCTGAACTTAAAGTACGACAGCCAAACACAGACATGAGGAGAAAGAGCACAGCAAGCCACCAGACTCAGGAAGCTTGTCTCAGAGATCTGGCCCAACAGGCTGTCTGGGCCGGACCTGCCAGCCTAGCTCAGTGGGGAGCCTACCTGAGGTGCACAGACAGGGCCTCATTACAGGGTCACAGAGAGTGTCCTCACAAGAAGCCAGACCTGCTGGCCCTCAAACTCCAGCTTAGACCCAGAACTGTGAGAACATGTCTGCTAAGCCACACAGTCCACTATATTTTTCTCTGGTAGCTTGGGCAGACTAACACACACACATACGCGCACACACACATATACACACACACAAATAACGTGGTGCACTCCTAATTTTGTACCCAAAAGGACTTAACATCAGCATACTATAGCGACATGGCCTCATCAATGTTCATAGCAACTCAATTCACAATGGCTAAGCTATGCCATCAACCTAGGTGCCCTTTATGAATGCATAAAGAAAATGTGGCACATATACACAATAGAATTACTCAGCCATAAAGAATGAGATTATGGCATTTGCCAGGAAATGGATGGAATGTATCATGCTAAGTGAAATAAGCCAAACCCAAAAATTAAAGGCAGAATGTTCTCTCTGATATGCAGATGCTGACTCACAATGGGGGTGGAGGTTCACTGAACTGGACAGGAGAGTGAGGGGAAGGGAAGGGGACGGGAAAGACAGTAGGATGAATTGAACATAACCTCCCAGTGTTCTTCTGTGAGTACACATAGTATGTCAAGGTACACTCCACCATCACATGTAACTCAATAACCAAATGGTGTTTTAACCACTGCAACAGAAACACTGAGTCATTCAGCACATCCAGCCCCTTGTAAGAGATAAAAATCAAGAGCAAAACAATTAAAAGACTGAGAAGAGGGCTGGGGATGTGGCTCAAGCGGTAGTGCACTCGCCTGGCAAGCGTGTGGCCCGGGGTTCGATCCTCAGCACCAAAAACAGAGATGTTGTGTCCGCCAAAAACTAAACAATAAATATTAAAAAAAAAAAAAATTCTCTCTCTCTCTAAAAAAAGACTGAGAAGACCTGGAAATATGGGGGCCTCTACCCTGGCCTCTTGGGATTCCACCCTCAAGACCCTGACCCACTGTGCACTGAAGCACATCCTGACCCCCACCTCCCACACTCAACTCTGAGTCTACGGAGCCCTGGAAAGAGAAGGCCACCCTGACCAAGCCTGACAATGGCAGATCTGAGCAGGACCCAGAGAGCATGCGGGGCTGGCCACGCGGGAGGACCAACAGCAGCAGCCTGTTCTGGGAAGCTCTGTGGTAGGGTCTGAGGGCAAAGAGAGGAGGAAGCCATGGAGCTCAGCTCACGTCAGGAGGGAGAGGAGCAACTACCAGGCCCCATTTCCTGCGGGACTCCAGAAGCAGGAGTACGGGGTGGGTCTCCTACTGGCTCTCAGAAGATGAAGGAGAGAGTGGTGCCCTGGGCCAGGGGTTGCTACCCTAGAAGGTTTCAATACCATGGGAAGGCCTCCACTCCCTGGCCTCCCTATGAGCTTGGACCCTTCCCCAAATTGCCCACATACCAGCAGCTCACCACCCTGTGATCAGAGGACTCCTCCTGAAGGCCGGCAGCCAAAGCGTCAAGTGCCACTGACAACACAGGACAGAAGCAGCACTCAGCAGGCGCTGACAGTCTGTCAGCACCCACCCTCAAGTGCTCTGGGACAAGGGGTCAATTTCTGAGTCTCAGGCCTCTGCAGGCCCTTAAATCCCATGGCACTAGGTCCAGCCAGCCAGTTACCTACCCTGAGGACACCGAGGCCTGCCAGCTTTTTGTTTTCTTTTGTGGTTCTGGGGATGGAATCCAGGGCCTGGCACAAGCTAGAAGTGCTCGGCCACTGAACTGGGTCCCCAGCTCCTCACAACAAGCAGGCTGCTGATGCTGCAGTAAGCTGCACCACTGTGCAGCCCTGGAGCTGACTGTGCAGCACACTGAACGGGGCTCTGCAGCACCACGCCGGCCAACTACTGCCAGGGCAAGGCCGGAAAGCTGGGAAGGCTCCTGAGCAGCCACGCATTCCCAGCTGCAGGGGCCACCGACTTACGTGAGAGCATGCTCTGCAGCACCTCAGCAGCCACCTGTCATAACAGAGCAAAGGGCCGTCACTCGGCAGTGTCTGGGCAGTCACGCACTCGCACTAGACACACCTGTCACCTCTACAAAGAAGAGCACCTCCAAAATTCCTTCACAAACCTAGAGATCCCCCAACGCTGCCCACCATGACACCAGGCATGCCCCCGCGAGGTCCAGGCCCGACCCACAGCCCCCACTCTGGCTGCACCCCCTCCCCTCCTGCCCTGCCAGGATAGACCTGTGCTGCTATGAAGACTCCTGCCCTGGAGACCTCTGGAAACTCAGAGGACACCCTCAGTGGTCACTTCGCAGAAAATGATTTCCTTACACAAAACTTACAAGTGTGGACACAGAACAAATGGCAGCCACTAGCCCAGGAGTTCCAAAAGGAGCCAAGACCTGGTGGGGCCTGCTCCTCAGGCCCCAGCCCACGGCTGCTAGGAGGCCGAGTCGGGCAGCTCCCTGCTCTGCTGTCCCTCCTACCTGGGACATTGTTCCAGTCTCCTCCACTCTTCTCAGATCCGAGTTTTCCTGAAATCCCTGTGAAACCAACAGCTCCACAAAATCTGGAAAACCACAAACCAAAGTATTTACACACATATGGTCTCCAAGCAGCTGTGACTCACACGGATCCCTAGGGCCACCCAGCCCCATTCCTATCAACATGCACGCACTCGCCAAGCCAGACTTACCCTCACTCTATTTTGGAAGTACTTAGCATACATCAAATTTATATTAAGGGCTTTTTCTCCTAATGCAAAGAAGTAGATCTCAAGGGATGGCTCATGGATGGTCCCCCCACAGCAAATACAGGACATGCAGCTCATCCCACCAGGAAGGAACTTTTTGCAAGGGAGGATCCCAGGCAATGCAGGCGACCAAGGCTCACAGAGCAGACAGAGCTGGCCACTAATGGAAAACGCAGGCTCTTCCAACCCCCTCCAACTGCTGAGGCTAAAAGCAAATTCAGGACACCACGAACTTGCTGGGCCCCACGCTCACAGGCATGGCGAATGCTCGGCTTCCCACTGGCCGAGGGAACTTTTTTTAATATTTACTTTTTACTTTCAGGTGGACATTATATCTTTATTTTATCTTTATTGGTGCTGAGGATCAAACCCACGGCCTCATGCATGTCAGGCACTCTACCACTGAGCCACAACCCCAGTGCCCCCAAGGTACTTTTCTCAGGAACTATGAACATACCAGAGAGCACAGCCCTAGCGATGTCCAGGGATGGGCAGGAGGTGTCTATCTGCTGGCACAGGAGGCGCAGGTTCCTGAAGAGCCACGCCACCACGGCCCGCATGTCAGGATGGCTGGGGATACAGCGTACAGTGGAACCGGGTCTGCCTGACCCCATGGCTGCCTCCCCTTACTTGGCAATTTTCTGCAACCCTCACTCCACTGTGAAGCCTAGTCTTTCTGCCCCAAAAGTCCAGGGACCAGCTACAGAGTTCTGCCTGGCTGCAAATGAGCCAGAAACAATCAATTTCTTTCTTTCTTTCTTTTTTTTTTTTTTAATATTTATTATTTAGTTTTCGGCAGACACAACATCTTTGTATGTGGTGTTGAGGATCGAACCCGGGCCGCACACATGCCAGGCGAGCGTCCTACCACTTGAGCCACATCCCCAGCCCCAGAAACAATCAATTTCAAATGGTTCACTTATCTGCACTGAACACTGTGGGGATCAGGGATGGGACACATACGGGACATGTGCAGCTCCTTTGCACATACTCTCTGTATGTCTTTGTTTCCTACTTCACTGGTTTCTGCTATAACCCTTATTACTTTCTCCCTCCATCTGGCTTAACTTGCTCTTCTCTTTCTAGTCTCTGAGGTTAAGCCTAGATAACATTCTTTTTTGAAATATAGGTTTTTACAAATATGGATTGCCCTCTAAACATTTCCTTAGCTGTGTTCCACAGATTCTGGAAGACTATTTTCATTTCCACTCATCTCAAGGTATATTAGGTGCACACTAAACTTCATGTAGTGAAGTTTACTACCCTTGTATAGCTTCTGGCTCTGTCACGTTTAGGCTTCCCACTTCAAGATCACGAAAGTCCTCCTAGGGCTGGCTTTTATGTATTGACAATTTCCTCTTTAATTCATCTAGAGGTTTTGTTTAGTTTTACATAAAGAACCCAGGAACTCACAGGTTCCAGGCAGCTAGAGGACACTGAGCCACCCCATAGCCTGAGCTTTTTTTGAAATAAGAAAAAGATACGACCTTTTTTAATCAGTGTGAGCCACTGTCACACCACCATTTGATTTCAGGTGGTGTGAAAAAAATCACACATGATTTCAATAACAACTAATTCTCGTTAAACAATGAGGCAATTACTTCTCCAGGTGCTTTTGGAAGTAAATAATTCATACTAAACAGCAATGTCAAAGCAACACGGATTCACTAGTGCACTACCTTTCCAGCAGCTCTTGTAGGCTCACGACACTTTGCACATGAAGACGCCACACAGCTTCAAGCAAGAGAGAGTTCTGAGGAAAATGAGTGCTATGAGTCTGGGCCTGTGTCCCAGCCTAGGCCGACTTCACGCCCACTGAAACATGGCCCGAGGCCACACTTTGGGCTCAGGTTCCTACCCCCCTTCAGGCTCTTCTGCTGTCCTGGGGCTTCTCTCCGTTCCCACAGTCTAACCTGCTGCCTGTCAGGCTCTCGCAAGCCACCCCAACCTGGCTCCATGCAGCCAACACAGCAACGCAGTGGTTAAATGCCCCTGGGTTCTAATCCCCAGTTCTCCAACTCTTCCGTAGATGCCTTTACTGGCTCCTCATCGCTTTGGGGACAGTCAAACTCTTATGCGTGGCACAGGCCTTTCCTCATGAGCCTCCCCCAGGGAAGCCCCCTGGACTGGCCAGGCATTCACACCATTCCACTGGACCCTGCTCAGACCACGCTGATCTTGTCCCCCACCACTTGCTATCCCCTCCCCTCCCCCAACCTCCAGGCAACTTTCAGCTGCCAAGAAGCCTTTCCTCACACCTTCTCTGCACAACTGTGAAGGTGACACAATGCAATTTTCATGTGCATGTCATTGCCTTGTCCTAAATTAGATGCAATGAGCACAGGGATCATAAGCAGGATAAAAGGATAGAAGTTACCACTTTGGCCGTTTCTTCCCTTTTATACACTTGCTCAGGCAGTTAGCACAAAATGGTAACTGAGCACTTTCAAATCTTCAAAAAAAAAAAAATCTGTAAACTGCCAGGTGCAGTGGTACACACCTGTAATCCTAGCGGTTAGGGAGGCTGAGGCAGCTGGGTCTGAAGCTTGAGGCCAGGCTCAGCAACTTAGCAAGGCCCTCAACAACTTAGCAAGACCCTGTCTCAAGATAAAAAATAAAAAGGACCAGGGATGTCACGCAGTAGTTAAATGCTCCTAGGTTCTAATCCCTGGTACCAAAAACCAAAACGAAAAATATCTATAAACCTACAGAGTTTGAATTATTCAAAAAAATACTTTTAGTATATTTAAATACTCTACTACTACACTGAAAAAGACTTCATGATAATATACCCAAGAAGGCAGACCACCCTGTTTCTGGGATGCACTGTATTCTAATAAAGATTGCCAACAATGGGCAGACACTGGCAAAAGGACTGAGGCTCTTCCTTCCCAGCACAGGAGCATCTGATGAACTTTTATTTCATTATCATTAAACAACATATTCAACTGAATCCCCAAGAAAACCCAGGGTTCTGGCTCCAACCAAATCAACAGAGCACTGCTGGACAAGACCAGAGCTGGGGTTGTTACCTGTGCTTTCCATACTTCTTGGCAGAAGGAGAGGCGGGAGAACATGCTATGTGCCAGAAGATACTGAGCAATCTCAAGCAAGGAAGATAGTTTCTTCTGAAAGGACAATAGGTCTTTTTTGAAGACAGGCAGACCACCTAAACTACAGCAGTGTGCTATTTCCACACAAACTCATGAGCAACAACATGTGACATTTAGGGGAACTGGCATCTCACTCTTTGCTCAGTGCTGAGCAGCACGGGATGGCTAGGCTCCTCGCAGACCCTCTTCATACTGCAGGCAACTGTCCTTGCTGACAGGATCCCCACAGGAACCCCCAGCTTCAAGGCCTGATCCTGAAAAGCAGAGCCTTAAAGACAAAACAAAAAACAAAACTTTTCCTGAAAACATCAGCCATTTGAGTTAAAATATCTTTTTAAGCCACAGCACACAGAAAACTGTCTTCAAAGGGGGAAAAATGTAAAGGGAAAAACATGATACACAAAATAAGACACTTTCATGGACCAAGCAGCTCTACTACAATGAGAGGTAATTTCTGAACCCAGAGCTGTGCACACGCACAGGCAAGCAGGATGAGCAGATACGCTGACGGTTACACAAAGAGCTCTATCTCCACCGTTCAGCCAGCACCACGGAATGAGAACCCCAGCAGGCTCTTTCAACTATTCTTCTCCTTTCTCTTCTTTTATTCCCCGTGCTGGGGATGGAACCCAAGGCCGCCCATGCTAGGTAAGTGCCCAGCCACTAAGCGTTCATGGGCGCGGCAGTTTGTCTTCCTGATTACTTCAGCATCCAGATGGCGTGTAGGATGGAAGCATCCCACCGCCTTTATAGGTAGGGGCTTCCCAATGCTCTGCCACTCACACCTGGTGGGAGCAAGGGCCACAGGTGGAGTCAGTCTGCAGGGCTAACAGAAGGAACCTCAATGCTGACTCTCAGGCAGCCACCAGGCTACTCCTGAGCAACCAGTCTCTAGTCTACCTTCCTTGAAGTGAGAAATGCTGTGCACCCTGGAAATAGGTAAGACCTATAAGCAGTCACTTCCTTAGCTTCAAAAACTAATTTATGAGAAGAAATAGAAAGTTCTAGTACATGATTATTATCTTCAAGATTCTGAAAGCACATATATATGAAGTGAGCAAATGTGATGGTTTTAGAGGCTTCAGTAGAGTATTAGAAATCAACTATTTGTTGCCAGGGAAAAATTTATTTTCATTTAAAATGCATTTATCTTATTTACTTATTTAATTTTTAAAGCATGGTAGCCATCTCTTCAGCAAAAAAACAAATTTAGGGGCTGGGGTTGTGGCTCAGCGGTAGAGCACTTGCCTAGCACGTGCGAGGCCCAGGGTTCGATCCTCAGCACCACATAAAAATAAATAAATAAAATAAAGGTACTGTGTACACTAAATAAATATTAAAAAAAAAAAGAAAAACAAATTTAAAAACTAGTGGATGGGAGCTGGGGTAAAGGCTGAACGGTAGAGTGCTCGCCTCACACGTGCAAGGCCCTGGATTTGATCCTCAGCACCAGATTAAAAAATAAATAAATAAATAAAAATAAAGCTATAAAAAACAACAACTACTACTACTAATGGGTGGAAGGTCCATACTTCTGTGATTAAGGATAAACAGCACAAGATCTCTTGCCTCATCCAAAGTCCTTACAAGAATGTACAACCATGCCTGGCCCCTGGACTTGTGACCCATCATCTGTGAGATTCAAAACCAGTTATGGCAGTGAAAATCAGGATCATTTCCCAATGGCACACAGCATCAGAAATTCTGCCAGACCTATTATCTAAGGTCACCTTTATACTTCTTAAGAACAAATTAGTGACTCAGTTAATTCCACTATTTGCAAAAATAGCTGTCACGTAAAAAACTATGAAGGACAAGAAGAAATCTAACACATTTTTTGTTATCTCCTCCAGAGCCTTCCCTCTCTCACTAACCCAAATTGGGAGGAAAGTGGCCCCCCAGAAACACGCTTGCCCTCCTCCTTCCTCCCTGACACACACCTAGAAACACACTGCCTTCCTGCCTGCTCTGCACTGCAGCCGCTGCTCGTGCACCTCTGTGGATGAGCAGCACACACTGCGGCCTTTCCCGAGTCAGTCGGTGTCTAAACCAGCGACACCGAATCCTCCAAGTCCACGAATCAGGAGCCCAAGTGCAACTCACCTATGAAAGAACAAGAGCCGCCCGTGGAGCCCTGGTCACTGTCACAACCCATCACTGCGTCGAGGCGCGGCTTTCCACAGGGTGGAGCTTCCACCTAGAATCAAGGCGGGGCGAGCACCGCTGTCACAACCCGGAGGCTCCCAGCGGCCGGCCTGAGGCTTCCAGAGGGAACTGACCGCAGCCTGCGGAGGGGCGCTAGGCCACCGAGACGCCGCTCTGCTCCCCGGCAGCCGCGAGCCACGGCCACGCCGCCCTCTCTCACCTCGAGCAGAAGGTCACTCAGGCTCTGGTGGCGTCGCAGGAGTTGCACGGCCGAGTCCTTGAGTTTCGGTCCCCTTTCGGGGTTATATTTCTGCCTCTTGACTCTTCCCGCTAAGGAAAAG